AATTTCCTGAGTCATGATGAAAGACAGCACTATTCAAAGAATGGGAGTTGCAGAGCAATAGTTAATGAAATAAATGTATCTACTGCTTTGAGTTCTGACACCATCTGTTTGATATTCTTGATACTCATCAAGTATATATCAGTTGTGAATCTGACTGAAAAAGCTGTACCTAGTTCACGCTTGACACTTGCCTCAATATCTCTCTTGTCATGCAGCTGTGCAGTTGTATAGCTTTGTGTCAAATCTCTGTCACTTCAGTGACAACTTTCTATGTGAGCATAGAGGCCAATATCTTGCAGATAACATCAGTATAGTCATTCAAGCGCACAACCAGGAGATTAGTTTGTGCTTTGACTTCAAAGGCCATCTTTTCTATATATCTAATGTTTGTCTGCTATGTATCAGTAGCAGATAATGTTGATATATTCATTCAAGCATGCAACCAAAAAATAAGCTTGTGCTTTGACTGCACAGAGCCATCTTTTGGATATATCTGATATTTGTCAGCTATATGTAAATTGGGAATCTGTGCAAAAAAGCTATACCTTGCCAACAGTTGGGGCACATTTTCCAAGTCTACTCAGCAGAAAGCTAAGCATTCATTTTGATATTTGTCAGCTATATGTAAATTGGGAATCTGTGCAAAAAAGCTATACCTTGCCAACAGTTGGGTCACATTTTCCAAGTCCACTCAGCAGAAAGCTAAGCATTCATTCTGATTTCAATGCTATCACTTTCAGATGTCTGTTGACCACCTGTCATTCCTTGCTTACCATTTGACAGAGGTAAGATGTATTGAACCATGCATCAACACAATTGCATGACATTGTGCATTGTCAGAAGTGTTCTTAATGAGGACATTTTGAGGTTATTTCTTTCAGACATCTAATGATCATCCATCATTCCTCGCTTACCATTTGACAGAGGTGAGATGTATTGAACCATGCATCAACACAATTGCATGACATTGTGCACTGTCAGAAGTGTTCTTAATGAGGACATTTTGAGGTTATTTCTTTCAGACATCTAATGATCATCCATCATTCCTCGCTTACCATTTGACAGAGGTGAGATGTATTGAACCATGCATCAACACAATTGCATGATGTTGTGCACTATCAGAAGCATTCTTAACACAGTCATTTTGAGGTAATCTCCTTCAGATATCTAATAACCATCCATCATTCTTCATTTACCATTTGACAAAGGTAAGGTGCATTGCACCATGCATCAACACAAGTGTGTGCTGTTGTACACTACCAGAAGAGTCCTTGATAAAGATGTTTTGCTGTCATCTCTTTCTAATGTCTGATGAGTATCTGTGGTTCCTGGCTTACCATTTGACAACAGTAGGGTGCATTGCACCATGCATTGACACAATTGTGTGTTATTGTACACTATCAGAAGAATTCTTGACGAGGACATTTTAGTATCATCTTTTTACTAATCACCATGAATGTCCTGTATTTCCAGGGTCAGAAAAAACAGACAGATTCACAGACTGTAGCTTAAGATCGGCGGGAGTAGTGCAAACTGATGCTTTCAAAGCTTTAGCCACTCGCATTTCATACGTCATCGAGTCACAAGTAATCAAAAGTCATGACATTATTGAACTAAAATTAGGATATAAAGTGACATGCAAATAAGATGGTAAGACAATAACAGATACTTAGTCTGAATTGAACGAAATGTCATCGCGGTCCGCTCTCTGCCTCGCGAGAGTGTTAATGGACATGGCAGCCTTTGCCTCATTGCTAAGATCCTCACGTCGACGCCTTCCGAAAACTTTTCTAAGGAATTTGAAATAATTAGTCGAGACTTGTTGAAAGGATGGATGCCGCACATAGTCCACCACTCCAGGAGTCTGGTGACTCTCCGCCACGCTTCCCGGCCAGGGGGCCTTTCAAAAAAATCCACTATAGTTTGCCAAAACTGTATATAGTCGAAGTCGCCGTCGACAGACCGCCAGGAAGTAACAGAGGAAAGGGCGAATCGTACCTGCCAGTACAGCCATCATTTACATTTTTCAGAACGAAACTATCAGAACGACTTACTTGGCAAGCGATGTACGCAATAGAATGTGGAGTGACCTTATCCATCTTGATAATTTGCACTACATGTTTCTTGACCGTGATTCCTGAGAGTGCTTTCTTCACGCGCCTGTTGTTCTCGACGATATCTGCGCCATCGCCGTTACCGTCAATGTCCTTTGCTGAAGAGGGCGAAGTAAACACAGCTTTATAACCCTGCGAACGAGTTAGGATTGTTCCTGGAGAACTCAGGTACGACGAACCTGCACAAGAATTCTGCCCTTGAAGAGCCCTTCCTCCAGATCGTCTGAATTGGCATTATACTTTTCATACAAAAACGACGGAAAGGAGAGATCCGTGACAACATAGCCCTCCGATTGATCTCGAATCCCTGTCCTTACGCTGGTGAACAGTTAGCATTGTTCAGGATCCGGAGTGCACCGTAAATACTTACGCTGGGTCGTTCCAGTCAAGTTCAGCCGGGCAAAGTAGCCTACCACACGCCTCATTGATGAATCCATGACAATTCTTATCATCATGGTCAACAGGAGGGTCTGGTTTCAGTTCGCGATTAACCCAGTCTGAAATAAGGGTCTTGAGCTTTGATGTATCATCCCCACGAGCACCGTCAGCCCCTTGCCTAAGCTAAAAATGACTTAACGATAAAGTCAAATGTTGATAGTGATAAAACACACCAATTTTGACAGGCGCACATACTCATCATGCTCCATGTCCGTGACCGTCTTCAAAAACCAGGGCAAGGTTCTCGTCAGGACATTATATCCTTCTGCCAGCCGATCTTGGCTACATAAAAGTCAACGAGTTCAGTCACTGCAAGAAATTAGTAAGAAAACATCACTGACTCGATAGTAGCAGCATCGTGATCGTGATCATCTTCGAGATCATATCTTCTATCATTTTCCGATACAAGGTCCTCGACGCCGTCGAACAAAGCAACGATGCGCCTGAAGCCTCTTCCTTGGGCCAGGTAATAATTTGTTTGCCTTTGGCACATGGTGAGCAAACTTGAATGTATGCAGCGGAAGGAATCATGATACCTTTTTTTCACAGCTCGCCCGGACTTGAGACTCTCTATTTTCTCCTCTAGTTCGGCAATTTTTCGTCTGTGCCAAGCTTGCGCAAATGTTGATTGGGATGACTCGAAGTCAGGCTGCTGAATGCCATGGTTGTTCCGCCGGCTCCCAGTCGGTGATGCGCTGCCCTCAGCATGTGACATGGAGTTTGACTTGGAGAAGGACTTGGAAGTGACAAACGGGCTTCAAAAGCAGTAGACGAAGAATGAGAATGAGGGAGGTAAAGACGATGGAAATGAACTCAACTAGCACTCGCTTTATATACTGGTGGGCTCAGACACGTGACTGCCCTAAAACATTTAATGTGAACATTACTGCATCCCCCACATACGAAGCGATTGCAAGAAGATGAACTTACTTAAAATGGACTTGACGAAAGTGTAATATTATGTAAGCACGATGCGCAAATGATTTTCCCTGCTGTCAGCTTTCATCAGTCTGAGCCGGAAAAGCCCTAATTTCATCGTAGCGAGCACACACATGCTTGTAAGTTCATCCCATGAAATACAGGTCCTGTCAGTTGAAGCTCTGGAAGTCGTAGCCAAGCTGATGCAGGCAATTGAGATGAGGGCGGTATCAACCAGATGCGACTGTTTGTAGTGTCAGTATATCAAAAGAGGAAAGCACAAGGCACTAGCCGCTCCAGTCGATGCAGCTCAGTGGTTATCATCGCCATGACGTCCCGACTAGCCCTCGCGTTCTCCTCCATAAACTAAAAGTAAAGCTCAGTGCGAGAAACAGGTACTGCAATGAGTAGAAATGTTACCATTGGACGAGCATCGTTTCTCATATTCGCCCAAACCTGACGATTGATCAGATCTTCCCATAACTTTATGTCTGTCTCAAGTTCATCCCTGAAGATAGGGGGGAGTAACCGGAACGACGTATGGTTGACTAAAGCACCGGAAGACCCGACCGCAAAGTCATCAGTAGCAGGGAACATACGAGCATATAAAGCAAGCGTTGCGACATACTAGTACTCTGCCTGGATTTCGGTGTGACTGGCAACACCACGCATGTTCCATTCATGCGTCTTTTTCCCTCCCAGTTGATCATAACACATGCGCGTTTCATAGTATGACTCGACCCAGAGTGAGCGGGCGATATGAAGTCTTCAACAAAGATTTTCAAGTTCTGATAAAGGTAAAGGTGTGTCCAAGAATAACAATCGCAAGAGATTTGTAGAAAGACGCACTGACTTCCAACCTCTATGCTACCACTCTCCTAAGAAACAGTGACGGAAGTCAGTCCTTGGTGCTGTTGCAGACAGTGAGCAAGCGTGAGAAACAGGGGCGGACACAGACATATTCACACTCCGCTCGAAGGTGCCGATGTGACATGTCCCAGAATGTCTGGATATACGACGACACCCGGCACAACAGGCACCTGCTAAAATTCGAACTCCGTGCTTCGCCTGCCAAATCTCTCCAAGATCGACTGACTACGTCAAAGTTCCCCACTTTCATGCAGTGACGTACGTCAGACTGGGCACGAGTCTAACCACAGCAGAATTCAGGTATAGTTCCGATTGTTACCGGCCCAACTTGCGGTCCGTTCGATAGCAAGTCTTGATTATCACGTTCGTACGTATTTTCTCACGCTCTCTTATTTTTCGCTTGTCGCTTACCTGCGTGGCTGCGTCTTTGTCGTTTGCCGTGGCTTCTCTGTTTGCTCTTGTCTCTCCCGTATATCTTGTTGTAACAGACCATCAAATGACTGGTGACGGTGTGTCTGTCGTCTCATTCTTTCGACTCCAGAGGTTATTTAAGTGTCGCAGAGAGTCTTCATAGCATTTCTTTCTGTGTTCGAACTAGGTGGGTAACCATGGGCATATATCTGTACAAACGCATGCTAACAGGTGTTCTCCCCAGGACTCATGGTGCTCACGCTCATACGCGCCATACAGAACTGGCGGATAAACCAAAGCCGTCTGTACGTTGTCCTGGTGAACCATAACATATTATGTATGCGGTTTTCGTGAGTTTACACTTGTTCACGTTGTTTTCCCATACTCATCCATGATCGTTGTCTTTCCTGAAGTGCTCTCGGTAATGAACATCTTCGCATCGCTGCTCCTCCAGGTACGTGAATATCATAAATCCCTTTTATGATCGAGCCGTTGATGTTCTGCACCCCAGGACTCCTACCAATCCTTTTTTTCAAGTATGTACCGCCACATCCTCCTGCTAACAATACTCAAACACCCACACATAGTTTCCAGTTTACCATTCTTGCAATTCTTGCCACGCGCATGCACCTCCATCTCTGGCAGGTGAATCAACATCCACACGGCTCTACTAGCGTCCTCGTGCATATTCCAACATCCGACATCTCATTTGCGAATTCCACGGCGTGATTGTCTTATCCTGTGGCTTATTCGGTGTCGTTCATGGAGCGAGGTTTGGACCGTACAAGATGACTGGTGGGAGATGGTTGGGTAGAGTTCTTTCCAGTTATGTATTATTGTTGCAATTTGAGGCATTTTCAGTTTTGCACCTACCTGTGCCAACCGAGATGCATGGTCGTGGGACACACGATTGTTTGCGCATTGATCAAGCCAGTGCTGGCGGATATGAGCGCTCTCGGGTTTAATTTCACAGCCATTGCTAACTCGTGCACCTACCTACATCCTTCGAAGAAAGCTCAAACCATCCAAATTACCATTCCGCACTCATAATGATGGGCAGGTGGATGGTGTGGTGTTCCTCAGCCAGCGCCGGTGGCTTGCAAAATACTGTGACAGGTATGATGTACCCGTGCTCGAAGGTAGGTACTCGGCCCTTCGGCTTACATCGGGTTTCAACACAGTGGTACTTATCAAAAGTTACGTGCTCAACTTATAGAATGAGTCTGTCCGCGGGGTGGTAGTGGCATTTGGGTCTTTTCAATACCCGTGGGTTTCACTGTAAGCGACGGCGGATTCAAGATCCAGGATTTGAGTGTGCTAGTGCCAGACGCACATGTATAGCCTGACGGCATGGAGCATTGTGGTACAGATCTAGTAAAACACACCACGCTCTCCAGATCAACGAAACGTTTCTGTTTTGATAGGACGACATCTGCAATGACCTACACTGCCAACAATTCAAATTTGTCTCACTCAACCGGGTAAGTTATTTGCACTTCATGGTTTGTCGGTGACAAACACTACTTTAGGCGGGGGAGTCAGGACATCTGCCTTGATGCGGACCGGAAATCAACATTTATGGCATATTGCCTAGGGAGTGTCCGATGAAATTGTTCACGAGATGTAATAACATCTGGGTGAAGGAAATCTCAGCAGTATCCAGTTGGCCTCGTTGGTGGTCAAGGCGTCTGATATGCGTGATTAGTACGTCCGTGATTTGCTTTGTGTTCATCTATGTGCTACATAATGTGGTGACCTATTTTTGTCTTCAAGCGTTTGCTGCAGGCGCGATGCCACTCCGCTGCTGAAGTTCTACCCGAGCCTATTGCTCACTCAAGTGAACAGACGTGTGCTCAGGTCCGGGGTACCAGTAGGGTTGTTGTATGCAAAGGCTGTAAACTTCTTTAAAGACAAGCGAGTCATTGAATCATGCTCCGGACCGCTTGAATAACCTATCTTATAGAATTGAAATGAACGACTCAGATATCTTGTCTGTGTTACCTCGTTCTTTTGTTCGCAAGGGTGATAATTAACCGGTGAGTAGGATCTATGTTGCTTCGAACTACTGCGATAGCCGCGCTGATGCTGAAAAGTGGTCTGGATACTCGGATAGCATGCAAGTCAGTCATATGGCTGGTCTACCTAATACACGAAACACCATCTATCTACAATATATATGAACGATCAACCAAACTCAAGTGTCGTACGTCAGTCTCATTGACTAATCATACCATAGTTGATCATGTAAGCCTCGCAAGGCCTCAAACTTAATTATTTCGAGATGGTTTGTTTTGTTTTGTTGATGTAATGGCGCTATAAGGCAAGTACAGCAATGAATGAGTGATGTTGTAATTTACGCAAGTAGTTTCAGCTGGAGTCCAGGCCACTGCACACGGAATCCCTGTGTTTTGACTTGCCTTAAATTGAATAGGCGGTCTCAAAGAAATCAAACGGCCATCTTAGTTACCATTTCTCGCTAGCACTGGCAGCTCCAACGAGCAATGCATGCAAGCCTCGCGTCATCTCTTTGGATCGCTGCCCTTCTCTTAGTTTTCTTTCTACTGACGATGACCCAATGCGGCGCTACAGGCTGCTCCTGGGAGAAGGCAACGGACACTCGTGGACTCAACAGGCATTGTGCGTCTTGTCAATTTTACAAGAGGTGCAGCTCTCTGGCAACTCGGAAGAGACGGGAACGTGCCAAAGAAGCTTCAAATGCAGTGCGTACTAGTACTACCAAGTAATTAGCTGTTTTCTTGACTTACGTGGACTTGAACTTCAGAAAATCGGTCGTCTCAGACCAATTGCCCCTTGTTGATTGCTAGCAGGGCAAGGACAAGGGTCTGGCACTGGCATCCTTGATGCCTTCGGTCTCGATGACTCAGGACCCTGCCATGACCTAGACCTGATTTCGCAAGATGATGTCGACATTGAGATGGGTGCTAATTGCGGAGACGGCATTGACTTGGATGGCTTTGGTTCGCATCCCTTTGAATGACAGGCCACCAGTTTTCTCACTTCTTGAATTCGTCAGAGAAACAGACGAGCCGTATGAGACGAATCCCGAGACCCTTCCGCGTTGTCAAGCCCTTGGAGGAGGACCTTAATCATTCTGATAGCGTCAACAATCAGAGTTCGTCGAGTCAAAGTTCGCCTACCGTACCAGCCCAATCTAGAATCCAACGTGTTCTTCTAACCCTCAGAGATACACTTCAGACCACTTTCAACTCCTTTGGTCTCTGCCGACAATACCCTCATTGTCCTTCGTTCGAGCCAGATAGATTTATTCCATCTGCGTTACTTGTAAGGACATGTCCAGCTGCTGTTCAAGGAGCCTACTCCACACCGAAGGTCTTTGCACCTCCGTACCCATTTGCTAATATGACTGTCTATAGACTTATATCCTGGATGAACTCCGGAAGCAGTCGGGTGTCAGAGACTAAAGTCGCTGCCCTGGTCAAGGATGTGATACTATCAGAGGATTTCGACTGCAAGGACCTTCAGGGGTTTTCGGTGAGGCGGAGCCTATGAGAACTGGATAGAGATGAGAGTGGAGAGAGAATCACCTTTCCAGACGACTGGATCGAGACTCCGGTTACCATCGAGATTCCAACAAAGTGCAAGGAGGATGGCCCTAGACCTTACACAGCTCCTGGATTTCATTACCGCCCTCTAATTGAAGTTATACGCGCTGCATTCGCAGATGCTCAAGGTGGAGCGTTCCACCTCTTGCCTTTTAAACGTCTGTGGAAGGACCCTCTAGACAACCATCAAGAGCGGGTATACGACGAGCTTTACACCTCTGATGCTTGGTTGGAAGCTCAAGACAGCCTGCACAAACTCCCGAAAGAGCCAGGGTGTTCCTTGGAGCGCGTGATCGCAGGGCTGATGTTCTTTTCGGACGCCACTCACTTGGCGAACTTTGGAACTGCTAAGGCTTGGCCTCTTTATACATACTTCGGAAATCTGACGAAGTACGTACGTTCGTCGCCTACGTCGGGATCGTGTCACCTTGTAGGATTTTTACCTTCAGTGAGTCCTTAGTCCGGTTGATTACTCATTTATCGACCTACCCTCCTCAGCTTCCCGATAGTATTAAAGACATTTTGAGTAGCCTGCCCCGAATATCAAAAACAGGCATGGCCTCCCTTCTCACTCATTGCCGCAGGGAGTTGTTCCATGCATGTTGGGAAATCTTACTGGATGATGATTTTCTGTATGCTTATTGACACGGTATCATTTTGAAATGCGCTGACGGACTGATGCGGAGAGTATACCCTCGCATCTTCACATATTCAGCTGATTATCCGGAGAAGTACGTTCTATTATTATTGAGTTATCGGCTGGATCATAATTTTACAGAGCTCTAATCGCGACTATTAAGGACATGGGTTCTTGTCCATGCCCTCACTGCCTGATACCAAAAAGCTTGTTCAATTGTCTTGGTTTGGCGAAAGACATGAAAAACCACATAGCCAGCGTTCGAGTATATGTCACTATGCAAGTTGTCAAGGCTCGGGAGTTCATCTATCGATCAGGAAATACTGTAGACAGCGGAAAAGTTGAAGATACCCTCGGAAAAGGCTCATGGGTTCCTATTCTGGTGAGTGTGACGGGCTCCAGACTAGTTATGATCAGCTCAAACCAGCATTTGCAGAATCGATTTGTAGAAAAGCTTGGACCGCTGGGCCTTGACCCATTTCGTATGCTTGTAGTGGACCTCATGCACGAGTGCGAATTGGGTACCTGGAAGGCACTCTTTACGCACCTCATAAGGCTTCTTTATGCACTTCCTGGGGGCGCTCGACTGGTCGCCACCCTGGATGAAAGGTATGGGGACTCAATGAGGAGTATCTTTTTCCGCTAACGAGTCCAAATTCGCCTTAGATTTCGCCTGCTCCCGACCTTTGGTAATGGCGTAATTTGCAAGTTTGCCAACAATACCTCAGAGATGAAAAAATTGGCAGCTCGCGACTTTGAAGACATTTTACAGGTTCGTTTGCGTCGTTTAGTTGTCTGGAAAGCTCCCTCACATGCCCTCCAGTGCGCCATCCCAGTCTTTGAAGGGCTGTTACCTCCTGACCACGATGCGGCTATACAATCTCTGCTATACAAATTTGCACAGTGGCATGCACTTGCGAAGCTCAGGATCCACTCCGATTCCACCTTGACATTTCTGGACGAAACCTTCAAAAAACTCTCTCGGCAGTTGCGGAAGTTTTGGACTTTTACCTGTGCTGCATTCAATGCCGTTGAGTTGCCAAAAGAGAAGGCGGCTCGTCAACGAAGGTCTGCTCAGCGCTCCGAAGTTCATGGCGTCTCCCCAGAATCAACTGGACCAAGGGTCAAGATGTTTAATTTGAATACCTATAAGTTCCACGCTATGGGGGACTATGTGAGAACCATCCGATTCTTTGGGACCACAGACTCATTTACTACTCAAATCGTATGTATCGCCTACATTCCACCAGTACAAACTTGACGTTCTTGCACAGGGCGAGCTTGCACACCGAGCTCTGAAAGTATTCTATCCACTGACCAGTAAACTGGACACACCAGCACAATTAGCCAAGCACGAGCATAGGCGCCGCATGCTTCGGTGGGTTGCAGAAGCAGGGGGTACACCCCCCCTCCCTACTCAACCACCAGTCAATGTCCCCCCCTCTGGAAAGAATTACCATATCGCTTCCTATCAACACCATCCTGTCAGTCTATTCACATTCATCCGACAACATGATGGTGATCCAGCTCTTAAGGTAAAAGTGACGCATCCATTTTGAAATTGCCTTACTCACTGTGGTGATTAGAAATTCATGCCAAAACTGAGGGACCACGTCCTTTATCGGTTGCGCAAACTCGACATCAGTTACTGTGACCACACCTTCACGGATCAAGAGTGAAACTCAGTTATAATTCCTAATAACACGATTCACTCCGTCCAGACTATGCAAGTGCATTACACTACGTATGACATGAGACGTGAGTACAACACCATAAACCCTAGAATGCATGCAGACATCATGGTGATGTCAGGAGAGACGACGCCCGACCACCCATACTGGTATGCCCGGGTATTGGGAATATACCATATGGAGACATGGCTCAATGACCAAGCTCAGCCGGTAAAGCAGCACATTGAAGTTCTCTGGGTTAGGTGGCTGGCCCCGTTACAGTACCATAAATGTGGCACGAGACATGCGCGTCTTCCCAAAGTCGCATTCGTGGAGGAATACGACGCAGATGCATTTGGTTTTCTTGACCCAGGGCAAGTTATTCGAGGAGTACATTTGCTCCCAGCCTTTGCTTTGGGACATGGTGTAAGCTCGCTTTGCCACGGGAAATCGTTGGCACGTCCTGAAGGGGACTTAGATGACTGGGAAGTGTATTACATTGGCATGTGAGTGTTGGTTTCCATTCTCATGGCATATCAATCCTCAACCCCTTGTACAGATTCGCTGACCGAGATATGTTCATGCGCTATGGTCACTTTGGCATAGGACATCCGGTAATGATGAGGACAATTATCAGGGATTGTCTTGGCCCTGACTCACCAAGCAACACCATGGATACTGTGGGCGACAGGAACAAGGTGGATGTGGACTATGCAGAGAACGGTGATGATGAAGGCTGGAACGGATGTGGTGAGGATGATGACGATGATGAAATGAGCGATGAAGAGTTTAGCGACGAGGAACTGGAGCGTCACGGTGAAGATGAGAGAGAGAGAGATCATGGCTTGGAAGGGGATGAGGACGAGGACGAGGACGATGACGATGACCTCCTATCTTTCTAATTCCTTCAAATAACGCAAATTGTTTTAGTCCTATATATTCATACATGAATACCAATAGATGTCCCTAGGAATAAATGTAAGTACCTGAAGACAAAAGTCTGTCATGTACAAAACATTGATCATCGTGCACTGGAGTGTCACGAATGAAAGTCACAATCACACTGGTGGGCAAATTCAGGATATATGTACGAGGTAAGCATTGCTTTGCTGCAACCTGGTCACGGTAGCGGAGACAGCTAGCTTGAAGACTAACACATTTGTGGCAGCAGAGAGCGGCTACATCGCAAACGACGAGGGTATCGTGCCTTCTAGAGTGGGCTCCTTGAACGTGCTCTTCACAAAATGCAGAACATGATGTATCTGATGCTCTTTGGGTCTAGACACGCGCATTAGCTCCTAGTCGACCTATAGCAGAAGGTCACAAACCTCCATGGTCAGAACCGCGGTGCAGGACTGTAAGCTCCAGTCCGGGGTTCGACCAGGGGATGGAAATGTCCATCAAGAACCGTACCATCGAGAGTCGTTCAGGATAGTTTTTGGGAAACATTATGGTGAACTTCAGCACAGAATCCTGGTAGTATCCTGACAATAATATGAAACCGGACGGCGCACCAGTAAGTATCAAGAATACTGACCTTTGTGCACAAAGAGAACGGCGTCCCACAACAGGGTGCTCTCCACAGAAGGAGTGATGCACATGCCAGTTGGACATTGGTTGATGTTTCTCAGTGATGCAGCATACTGGGAATTGAGAGTCGCATGAGTCGCTGAACTTACTATGATGGATCCTTCGGGGTAGGTTCAGTCTGCAGTTTGAACGATCTTTGTTCAAATACTCCTGCCTTTGGCAAGACCAAGGTCGATTGTGGGGAAGAAACGACTAGCACTCGGCATGTTCAAGTACACAGTAAGAAGTTAGTTGAACCTGTGGTTAAACCGGTCCTTTTCACGCTCAGTATATATATAAATTTTGCGCACCGTTCTGTTTTGAATAAAGACTGAGTACTGAATTAGGACAAGATCTGTCGGATAAGCATAAACAAAAATGAAGTGCCAATGTTGAGTTGCCTGGCAGCCGCCGAGCGTAGGGCCTCAGGCTCATTGCCAGTTTAACCTCAGGTTCAAACTGTTTGGTCCATCGGCCATAAGTGATCTATCCTGGGAACAACACCAAACAAGGGCCGCACCCCATAGGCACTATCTGCAGAGGGCGTCCTTGAGTTATCCTTCGGCAGTCTCTCCATACACTCTCAGCACAATAATTGTTGGATCAACAGCCTTGTTCAGTCACCACACTACGGCCGAAAGCAGCACATACTGGAAACAACATTGTTCTACAGTTCTGCCTTGTAAGTACTTTATATGTGGGGTGTCTTACAGATATCCTTGCACAGGTTGTTCTGCTTATCCTCAGTGTAATAATCACTTCATCAACAGGCCCATTGCTCAACCTACTATGCCTGATGGAGAATTCTCCCACCTTGATGGTACGCAGTGATCTAGATAAGCTCACAACTAATAGCTAGTATCTAATTTTTGCTAGTTTGGACACCTGCTAAGGCGAACAAATGGGTCTGCAACCTTTGTCAGGACAATAAGCCCCATGATCGGCGAGCGGTGCAGAAGCATGAGAGGACCCGGTCACATCAAGATGCAGTCAAATATCATTCGAGAGGACAGCAGCATTGCGGGAATGGTATTGTACCTGAAGCTCAATCTAACTCCATCGTCGAGCTACGTTGTCTTCTCGATGACATGGCTAGCACTCCCGATTTTGAGCTGGGTGATTCAGCAGACTACATTGGCGACTACTCGGTCACGAAGGCAACGATCGTGCAAGGTTTAAGAGACTTTTTAGATGACGATGACCTCTCAGATGATCAGGGAGCCGAAATATCAGAAGATGAAGAAGTTTTTACGGGGCAGACATGGCATGATGGTATGTTACTCTAACTACACAGGATGCAGCTCACTTTGACATTTTGAGCAGATGATAACCAGGCTGGTGATGCTGCTATTGGAACTGGCAGTGATAGAAAGCGTTTTCAACATCAAATCGTGAATGAGGAATGGTTTCCGTGGCCCGATAAGATTGTAAGGTCAGTCTATCAACCTGCCAACTGTTGTTGATCCAGTGGTGTTCTATCAGACGTGCACACTTGATATTCTCATGCACCTTCCACGCTCTGTTTTTTCAGAACGACAGATTGATATTTTACTCTGGCTACTTCGGGTCAACAATGTAGTCGATGTACCTTCGGTGAAGTCTGTCAAACTTATCAAAGACGCTATTCAACGATTATGCGGTATCCGTTCAATCCCTTATGAAGGTGCTCTTGGGCATAGGTACTATGTTAACTCGCTGCCTGACATTATTTGGCAGGTGTGTGCATTGCTGAAATGTAATTGTTATTCTATACTTAGTTGTGTTTGAAGGAAATGATGAATCCTCGCGTTCGGCCACTGTTACACTTCTACCCTGAAGATACTGGTGTGGAACTGAACGAAGCTCGACAAGCTACATGTTGGCTTGAGGAACTTGACCCGGAGCTGCTTACGCCTGTCGTCAGACTGCACAACCAAGATTTCTTTGTTTTCGAGCCTGCATTACTATCGAGTGGCCAAGCTTGCATTCCATTTCGGTGGTTCACACATGGCGGGAAGATGTACACTAAAGCTTGGTCATTGCGGCCTGTCACTCGTGAACTGGATTGCGGTTGGGTTGTAGAAGATTTTCGTTCATTTGAGGTATCAGAAGATGATCTTCTTGTATCATTCCGAAACTGGGATTCGAGCGAAGCAACATCTGGTCTACCTCGTGCAAACTCAATATATGGTAGAGTCATTTTATCACTTCAACTATTACATCTTGCAAATATATGTTTAGGTGTTGAACAGTGAACTTAATGGCAAATTGCAGCCATAGACATTAACCAATCCCTCAGAAGGCAATCAATGGCATGTTCGGGCATCAGGTGCTCGTGTATATGCAATGCCTCTCTGGTTATACTGCGACGACACATCTGGAAACTTATCGAAGAAGTGGAACAAACATAATTCATTTCTTTTTATAGCTGCAGGATTGCCACAAGCAGAAGTCCACCGAGAGTACAGCATCCATTTTCTTTGTACATTGAATCTTGCCCCTCCACTTGAAATGTTGGATGGTATTGTAGACCAACTTGAGTGAGTAAGATTCGTCGTGAGCAGGCAAGTGGAAATAATGATGCTGGTAAAATTTAGGGAATCATGGAAGCAAGGCATCTGGGCCTGGGACTGTGTCCACGAGGAGTATGTTCTTGTCATCCCGTCCATCTTGGCCTTGCTCGGGGACAATCCCCATGCAAAGTGAGATGGCCTGTCATATCGGGTCAATGGGAAAATATTTTTGCCGTATTTGTAAAGTGAAGGGGCACAATGCAAGTGTGGAGAGCAATCCTGCACGAGCAGCTGCTGCACGGCCTGAAGATACTGACCATAGTGTTGGTGAGGTTAGTGGAAGTGAATCTGAAGCCTATACTACTGCTCCGAAATCTACACGGAAACTGAGCAAAGGAGACCATGGAGGAGATGGTGACACGGGTTAAGCGGTTTGTAAAGGTAATAACAAATCTGAATGGTCTTGCATATATTTTCATTTATGAAGTATGATATTAGATAGGAGAACCACGTCACAAGAATGAAACTATCGCTGAACTCAAGTCAATGTTCACTCATGCGTCAACAGTCGGGAATCAGACCCAGATCAAACAAAGGAAGACTTCTATGGGCATCAAGGACACCTTTCTGGACTCATTCTTGAATCGCCTAGCTGAATCATACTGCAAAATCCAGGGTGGTAACAAGGCAAAACAGGAAGCGCTTGATAGAGTTAAAGAGACACTGCCTGAAAATGTCATAAGTCCTGTGTGGCGAATCAAAGGTCTTTCAACCATTTTCACAGTGTAATAGGATTGACTTCAATAATATCTCAGGTATTGATCCTCACACCGACACACTTGTGGAAATCCTCCATACAGTCCTTCTTGGATTTGTCAAATACCTTTGGCGCGACGTTGTCTCTGTGAGAATCGGAAAAGACAAATTGAAGTGTGAACTTTTAGAAACTCACCTATCATCTGTTGATGTCTCAGGTCTTGGACTCAGCCATCTCGCTGGTCACACCCTTGTTCAATATGCAGGGTCTCTTGTTGGTCGTGATTTTCGTGCTATTGCACAAGTTGCACCATTTATCCTTCACGACTTGGTACCCACAGAATGCTATGATACTTGGGTTGCGTTATCAAACCTAATACCACTCATCTGGCAGCCTGAAATTGAAGACTCCATGGAACATTTAGTATGTAGCACAATACTTTTCAGTCTTATTTGCCGATATTCACATTATCTGATCATTATTATCATCTCAGCGCAATCTTACAACATCGATCAATAACTTTCTTGCGTGCACCGCCAGGTGGACTCCCCGATGGTTCAATAAGCCTAAATTTCATATTCTACTACACGTCGTTGACCACATTCGACGATTTGGGCCAGCTGCTTTGTTTGCGACAGAGGCATTTGAGTCCTTCAATGCTGTCATCCGTGCGAAAAGTATCCATTCAAACCACCGTGCTCCTTCTCGGGATATTGCACGTTCTTTTGCCCATGGAAGTCGGATTCGTCATATTCTCTCGGGGGCATGAATACTCATGCATGATAGTAATACAAATGACATTCACTCTGATTCTCCCAATCTTATCCAAGCCTCTAATCCCTCATCAGACAAGCCGCCAGATGCCATAAACGTCAAAGTTGTTGGAAAGGGTCCATTGTCACTTGTTCAATGGCCAAATATCATTACTGACTACCTCGGACTCGACACACATTCTGACACTAAAAAATACGGTAAAGTTCAATTTTACACGAGTTCGAACTTTGAGAAATACAATACTAAGGGTCAGTATCTTTAGGTCAGTGCCTTCGTAACAACCTACCACTCCAACCGTACTTGACTACTGAGACGGGGAAATGCTTTCCGAATGCACTTCGATCACTCTCAAACGACACTCTCAAAGGATATAATTTCTGTACTTGCAAGTCTATGGTGCTTTTCAATGGGGATGTTTGTAAGATAGGAGATTGGGTTCTCATAGCGGATGGCACAGCAGAGCAGTCTCCAATTGTAGGGTGTATTCAAGAAATTATCCAGCACCAAGGCTCGGATGCAGATAACCTTCTGCGTCCAGATGCGATTCTTCTGGAACGCGGAAGTGTTGGCGAACCGGCAGCATCCTACTCTATTCCCGCAGTCAGGGCACATGGTGGCTTTTTGCTCTATTTTGTCGAGGTTGGTGGTTCATCTGTACGAGTCATCAGTCACTGAATTTCTGTTTCTATGAAAGAAAATTTTGTGTGCAGCCAATCTGCAGCATCAATGCCGAGTACACAAATGCACGAGCTTGGCTTCTGATGTTGAATTTGTTTACGAAGAACGGGCGAAGACATCAAAAGCTAAGGCTATGATACATCACATTGGGGACCCTGATGACCTTGTTCTCAACACCGCACAGATGCGAGACGCAAAGCACATGCAGGGCCTTCGGGTACCTATTCAGCCACAAGATATGAACCTCGCAATCCTCGAGGGTGCTGCAAGGGAGATTCAGACACGCAATGACACCACTAATAGTGGAGCTTTCAAGACATCTATTATAGTGGCAGCACATGGACCACGTGCTCAAGGCCGACAAGTTAATAGATCACTACAGCAACACCGGTCTGTATTACAAGTTCAGTAACCAGGAGCGGGTTCTCACTTCTACATATCATCTGCTGCACTTACAAGTATGACCCAGTACCCAGGTGCATAATATTCTTTATCATATCTCCTTCTACATATTAATATCATCTGCTGTACGCGCCGCTCTTAGTTGATTACCAATACTTGTTGCTAATATGCGGTGTCACCGTTTGGTTGCAGGGTTCACTAATATGACCATCCAACATGATCCTTATTACAACAATGAAATTGAAATTATACCTCGAGGCCATCCTTGCTGCAGCGCCGACTACCACCAAACATCCTTACTATTACAACAACAACGCTGAAATTATACCTTCAGGCCATCCTTGCTGCAGCGCTGACTACCACCAAACATCCTTATTACTATTATGACAACAACATCCTTACTATTACGACAACAATATACCTTCAGGCCATCCTTGCTGCAGCACCGACTACCACCAAACATCCTTTCTATTACGACAACAAAACTGAAATTATACCTTCAGGCCATCCTTGCTGCAGCGCCGACTACCACCAAACATCCTTATTACGACAACAAAACTGAAATTATACCTTGAGGCCATCCTTGCTGCAGCGCCGACTACCACCAAACATGATCCTTATTACAACAATGAAACCGAAAATATGCCTTGAGGCCATCATTAATACCGCATGGAATCCACTAATGTAAGCTGAGTTTTTATATAAATGTGTCAATGAGCATCTGATTTCATTAGTAGAGCACTTTCCAGCGACTTGCCTTTGAGTCCGTCATTCATTTTCACTGTCACTCATCCCAGTCTACAAATATGTCCTTCGACTTCTCTACTCCGCCTACCAGTTCTCAGCCATGGGCGTTATCACACTTCCATTTATCTGGTCCACTCGATGATTCCGAGCCAGGAAGTCCTTCGAGCGTGCTGCTGAGCCCTTCTGCCTACCTACGCACTCCTGGATCCCCACCTTCAAGTTCACGTCAGCCACAAATTGACCCAAATCTATTCGCAAATGAATTGTCCGCCCTCTTTGTGGACGCACTCGCCAACCAATTTGGCCTTGGCGATGCAGAACAGGACTTGCGGAAAAACCTACATGGTTTTGCCAAGGTACATCAATAATTTGATTTTTCATCCACATGCTGACATTTTTTGCATTGCAGCTCGGTCATGGACTGAGCAAATCTGACCTTGCGACTAGAACTTATCTCCTTGGCAGTATATTCTGCATTCTCAAGGAACAGCGCATAATTGCTGCCTCTCACCAATCAACACAACACCTTCTTGCAGATTTGCAAATCCGTCTCAAAACCACATTTTCACTTAGTCCTGAGCAACGAGTAAGTAATCTTCTTGGACCATCATCTATCAAATATCTGAAGCATAAAGATGAACATACGCATTGTGGCAGGTGATCTTATCTTTGATCCTAACAGGATCACATTCATGACACTTCATTTTGATGCTGCGGTAAGTCCTGCCAGTGAGTTATTAGATAGCGCTGTATGCTTATTTTCTAATCCCACAGAATCATTTACATAAAGATCGTGAGGCCTTCAAACTCACAAACATCTATGGAAACCCAGCTAGGGAACATTTCCTGATGATCTATACTAAATGTCAGTGTTCTAGCATCTGTAATTCATTTTGCGAGTTGGTGCGCACAAGTGGTTGATATTTGTTTCGGTTCTCAACTGATTGCCTTGTTGCAGCTACGTGACAGTGTCATTGGCGATGACACAAGCACGCTATCCGACTTTATTTATGACTGTTCAAATCATTTCCGTCGGGCAGGCGCGAACTCGGACCTTGGACATCCAACCCGCGCCCGTTTGGCTATCTTAGTATGGTCTTTCTCCACTGTATGACCGCCAAATTTTCTCACTGTTTCAAATTTCAGCGTCGTTTTGCATATGAAAACCCTTATTTGCTTGACCAGGCAGAGGATGAAGATGAGAGTCTCACATCACCGAGTGCAGAAGATGCTGAAGACCCTTCTATCGGAGAACCACTGAAGAAGAAGCGCAAGCGCGGCCAAGGCGGGCGCACCACCAAAGGTGAGGACTTCTGGTCCAAAGTTGAAATGTGGTTTGAGGCGCGACAGAAGCAGTGGGGAGATTCTTGGGGGACACCAGGCTGGACTGCGTATGTTTGTCTGACTGTCTGGCTGCACATCAAGCTGACCTAGCCTCAGATATATCAACCATACCATCGAACTCGACACCCATCGCTACCAGAGGCCGGTCGTCCAAAATCCATTCATGATTGACATCATTGTTCTGGAGGCTTACAGCAGTGCGTCTTCTACCACTGGCGCTGCTGCCTCGAAGCAGAATGGCTTGGGAAGTATGGAGGACATTTTGAGGCTCATTTGAGCGAGCCAGCGGTTGTACATGGGCCCGACACCTTCATTAGAATTTCGACTTGGACATTCAATACCCTATAGCTAGTTTCTTTAATATTAGTTCTGTGTGATTGCAAAGCTATTAGCCTGACAGAAATGTCCTAAGTTGACAACTTGACATCAGATGAGGAATGATATTCAGGCTCTTAAGATGACATAACCAGTACTGCGCGAACCTAGGCATGAAGATCAATGATAGATGGCAACCAGTACTGCGCAAACCTAGGCATGAAGATCAATGCCAGATGGCAACCAGTACTGTGCAAACCTAGGCATGAAGATCAACGCTAGATGGCGACCAGTACTGTGCGAATCTAGGCATGAAGATCAACACTAATTGGTGACCAGTACTGTGCGAATATGGGCACGAAGATAAATGACATTCAATAATCAGTATTAAGCTGATCTGAGCGTGAGGACCAACTCTACTTAGTTCTGTTAAGCTAATCTTTATGAGCAAAGGCTTCTCTGTGATTCACATCAATTCTATAACCATTAAATTTCATAGTACATAGCACGTTGGCCCTCATGTTCTGGAACAACTGGTAATCAGGTTGCAATCACCCTCGTTCCCTGGATAAAAATAACATTGCAACCGGCGGCTAAAGTTGAGGATGTCCTCAGGTTCAAACTACATTGCCCGTGGGACAAACACCGCGATAAACTGAACTTGAGTGTCACAACAAATGTCGCACATCAGATTTAATAGTACTGAGGTGCCATGGTCCTTTTTGCACTGCATTGAATCTGAAATTATCCTATTTACAACTATTGTAGGTTAACCCCAGGTGCATCCAACTGTCTTGCTGTGTAGCTCATACGGTGGGGGTAGGGGCATATTACTAAGAGCCTCAAGCATGTAAGTTTTCTCATGCACGGTCACTTAGTTCTGTGCACAACAGCATTCTTCAAACTTCTCACTGTATAACAGGTCACCCACAAGACCATGAGCAGCTCCTCCGAGTCTGAATCGAAGAGCAGCGATATCTTGTCCTCTTCTGACACCAATCCCAGGTTTGTTTTTCAATCACGCCCTCAGCGTCTATAGCATTTCAATGTGAGCTCATACGTAGTACGTCCAGACAACCCCAATCAACTATGACATCCTCACCTCCCACATCTGTGGCGCCCAGTAGCTCCCCAGCTAAAAGTACTGGCTCTCCTGTTATGTCTGTCAATGACCATACATTTCACAGCCAATGGGGTAGCCGTGCCAACTTGGGAAAATGTCTTGTTCAAGATTCCCATAAGTGTTCCGCTCAGTATGCCTTATATCAAAATGGCACGCGTGATGAGGATTGCGACTTGCCGATGAAGAGATTAAAGACCTTACACACAACGGTATGTCCATTTGAGTCATAGCTTTGGGAAGTACAATCCTCATTTTTTTCAAAGTGGAACTTTACTGCCGCCTCCACCGATGCTACAAACTACCTCAACCAGCGCATGCTTGAGCTCTCTCGGATAACTCGCCAGGCTATTGCCGCGAGGATCCACTACCAATGCCTTCGCTCCCGTGAACTTGATTTAATAAAGTCTATCCTCGAAGACGAAACCGAGCTGTGCCAGACACAGTTGAGTGGAGTTGACATGCAAATTGGCTCCATTCGGAATATGCTCGAGGCTCAGGGGGTCACGGCGACAGGGAATACAGATTCTAGGTTTGACCCTGGCAATGCCAGGCTTTGGTACAGAAGCCTATCTGATGAAGAATCACTTGTAATTGCCGCAACATCGCGTGGCAGCTCAGCCTGCCCGCAGTCCGATGACTCGGATGTATAATTTATTTTGCGCTCATCACTATCTCCTTAACCACATCATGTGCCTTGTACGTAGTTCGGTTTCAATGTATTGGCTTCAATATTCTGAATTGCATTGTCAGACTATTTCGCAAAGAATATTTACTAATACTATGACAGGTATCACACAATCCAACTACTACGGATTTGGACTTGTCAAAGTTAAGTTCGCAGCCTATTGCCCTGAAGGTTTACTGATTCGGTCGTCATTCGCTATCTGGAACACATGTAATAGAACACCCGCTTGTTCGAGTCGACATCGTTGTACGTTATATTATTATTGAGTTATCGGCTGGATCATAATTTTACAGAGCTCTAATCGCGACTATCAAGGACATGGGTTCTTGTCCATGCCCTCGCTGCCTGATACTAAAAAGCTTGTTCAATTGTCTTGGTTTGGCGAAAGCATGAAAAACCGCATAGCCAGCATTCGAGTATACATTACAACACAAGTTGTCAATGCTCGGGAGTTCATCTATCAATTAGGAAGTTATGTAGACGGCGGAAAAGTTCAAGGCACCCTCAGAGAAGGCTTGTTTAAACTGCCGCATGGTGAGTGTGTTATATCAAACGCACATCTTTGATTTAGGGGCATAATCGAATTCCTAAGTCTCATCGGACCAAGTCGGAAATGTCGATCGCGGGCCAGCACCGTAATCGTATGGCTTGGTGAGTCAGATGCTCGCACTTTGATTGTTTTGAGGATGATTCTAACACCATGTCAACATCATTTCTATTGGTCAGAAACAACACTCCAAAGATCATAATCGTAAATCAACGGACCCCCTGACTCTCAGCCTAGCGGTGCCTGCACCCATGATACCCTCGAAAGACTTCGAGAGTTCGTATATGATAGCCGAAGTTTACACGAGTCAACCATTAGCACCGCAAGGTGACTGAGGGCCAGCCTTACAATCGCAGTAGTATGTAACTAATCTTCGACTATTTAGCTCAACGTAAATGTTCGTTCTTTCCCCAATCTCACCATGAATGATTCTGAACCATCGACTGAGACGTTTACACCCATTCAATACGAGCCTGATAATCCCGCCAGTATTACACGGCGGGGGACACCTGTTCAAGCAGGCTCCTCCCGATACAGTCCATATGCACGTAGCACCACGAGCTCAAAACCCTCCACGTCGTTGGCATCGGCCAGCATGATGGGCGATGCCGAGGGTCCTCAATGTCCTCTAAAGGTCCCCCAACCTAGCATGAAGGACTATGATGCAACACAAACACTGGCTGTCCATTGGGCACAAAAGCGCCTCATTATGGACAGTGTATTTGAGGGTTGGATCAGAAACACCAAAGATGAGAAGGCCAACATGGACACCCGCGTCACTGAGATCATCTCTCAGGCTAATATAAAATTCAATTGTAGTACGTGCTGATAACTACCCCTGCGCACATTGTAGCATGAACTGATACGCACCAATACAGTGTTGCTACCCAGCAAATATCTCAAAGACTGTATAATCAATGCCTTAATCAAGAATCGCAGAGCGCTCGCGAAAAAAGCTGAAAATTTTGTGCATTTATACAACCTCGAACCGCTGTAGAGACTCGTGTGTCTCATGGTGTGATATGGCAGGTTTCACTAGGAAGTATACAGCACAAACTCGCAGCGTCATTCTGTGCGCTACCCACAGCTATCTCTATATGACGCGCAGCTTTCCCACGCAACGCGCGCCATGCGCGCACCATTCCCGCGCTTCGCGATGTATACGCGCGCGCGCGTTCCTGCGCTTGCGCGCCCTATAGCGCCAGCCATTCAGATGCATCCATCCACTGTCCACCAAGCTTCCTAGTACGTATATTTCCATTTCCTTTATTAGCATAGTTCCACCTTTATTTTTATCATAGTTTCTCACTCATATATATCCTTACATACCTACTCGGTAGTGCTTCGGCTCCGCATGACCGCGCTTAGGCGCGCTATATAAGCGCCAGCAGTACATACTACACTTTACCTACTTTTCCCTTGAACTTACTAGTTATCACCCACTATTTACTTAGCAGTACATAGTAGAAGTCTATTGGTCTACACTTTGCATCTATCTTTTCTTATATTGCTTTATATCATCACTTAAGCTTAGTCTCTTTTATTTCCGCTTACGCGCGCGCGCTTTCCCGCGCTTCGCGCTAATACGCGCGCGCGTTCCCGCGCCTTCGTACCTTGCGCGCACTTGCGCTTTCTCACGCTTCGCTGAAGCGCGTACCCCCAGATCTTCGCAGCACTCGCTTCCCCTAGGGTCGAACGCACTTGTCTCCTCAAGAATAGCAGACTAGGTAACGCGCGACCTCACAACATTTTATAGATACAGTTAGGAGCATCCTTGTTCCTCATTGTATTGTTGTTTCTACACCGCCGCCACAGATGTCCGGTGAGGACTGCAAGTCTTATATGAATCAACAAAGGGCAGAACTCTACGATCCAACACAGCCCTTCGGATACTATCTACACGGCAAACAGGAAACAGGAAACTCCGACATCTACCGACGTGCTTGTGTTCGCACATCCAGCTGTCCAAGGTGTTCATATGGCGCACTGGTATGAAAGCAAGAAATCCCTGCTTTGTGACAGAGAGATGAGGTCGTTGATGTCGACCACGACCATTCACATGCTCTCAGGGTCAGCAACAGCAGTGAGTGAAGTATATTTTGGTTTCCATTCGTTGACCCCTTTTGTATGATCTTCAGATCAGGTATGTCATCGATCGGCATGCCGATGATCAACCCTCCGCATCGAAGAACACGCTGCAGTACTCTACTGAGTTGTATTCGGGCGAGCAGGACTTGATTACGAATGCGATGGCATATACCCTTCAGACAGATATACATCGTGAGCCATTCGAGAGGCGTTTACTGGGTCTTCATCACAATGGGCTATGAGTATTTTGCTACGGTGAACACCCATAGCATGCTCATACTTTTGCAGTCAGGCCCTGCACAAGATGCTGAAAATTCTGCCTCCTCAGATTCCAATCTACGTACCTGTGACGACGGGGGAGTTAAGCATACCATGCCCAATTTCCATTTTGTCACCGCTCGTGCAAATGAGTGATTGAGTGCCCTCGATGACAGTGCAACCGCAGATGATGGAGTTAACACAGACTCCGGACTTAGATGACTTCAATTTCAGTTCGTGGTTGTCTGACTTGTCGGAGGAGCAGCCCACGGCCTCTGGGTCAAGGTTGATCGAAGGGTCTTTCAATATATAGAAGTCATTCGAACATCGGATCAATTTTTCATACACCTTACAGCTGTACTTACTACTATTAGTGCTTTTGATGTTGGGTTACGGTCACAGCTCCTCAATGATACGGAGTCTCGAGTCTGCGGCCAATGCTGGCCATCGCCGGGTGTGCAAGGAGCATGTGTGAATTCTGTTTGCTTGTATATCATTGTTTGTGCTGCGATCGCACTGCTCTGAACGATGAACATCTAATTGACTATGCTACCGACGGCACTCTGCATCTACCCTCAGGTGCTTTACGCTAGGCAAATCCAGCCATCCTCCATCATGATCTGTAGTTAACACTACCTCATGAATATGATAGAGGATTTCTTGCACTGGATCGATCTACATCTTTCACTGATAGTTCTTGATTCCTTTGCAGATGCATAGTCGCGATGTAGGATGATTTTCTCCAGTTACCTCACGGTGGCATATCGTGGATCATCGGGTAATCTCATCGTGACTACTCCATAATTGTTTGACTTATCCAAGTTTTTTCTTCACCCCTCACTACTAGGCCATACCATCACTCAGATTGTTAACATCAACAACAGCTCGCAAGTGGCCTTTCAAACTATCACATCAAGATTCGTTGATTTGACAGAGTTTCATATCATAGGTGAGACTTTCGAACTTTTCTATGCTCAAGGCTCTGATACATAAACTAGTCTGAAAACTGGGATCAGAGACTCTCAGAACTAACTATGGTGGTGCGCACCGGCTTGTAAGCTCATCTATCAATGGGGAAATACCCCAAAGGTGTAAGGGTTGGAGAGAAGGCAAACCAAAAAAAAACAGAATACCTACTCTGGAAGCGTGGCGAATGGACTCCCTGGGGTGTGCTCACCTCCGGGTGAAAGATACGCGGAGCTAATGAAGATGATTATCTGGAGAAGTACATTCTATTATTATTGAGTTATCGGCTGGATCATAATTTTACAGAGCTTTAATCGCGACTATTAAGGACATGGGTTCTTGTCCATGCCCTCGCTGCCTGATACTAAAAAGCTTGTTCAATTGTCTTGGTTTGGCGAAAGACATGAAAAACCGCATAGCCAGTGTTCGAGTATACGTTACAACACAAGTTGTCAATGCTCGGGAGTTCATCTATCAATTAGGAAGTTATGTAGACAGCGGAAAAGTTCAAGGCACCCTCAGAGAAGGCTCGCGGGTTGCTATTCTGGTAGGTGCGATGGGCTCCGTACTGGTCATGATTAGCTCAAACTGGCATTCACAGAATCAATTTGTAGAAAGGCTTGGATCATTAGGCCTTGACCTATTTCGCATGCTTGTGGTGAACCTCATCCCGTCCTCTGGTACCACAGATTCCTTTGCTACCCAAATTGTATGTATCGTATATATTCCACTAGTACGAACTTGACGTTCATGTGCAGGGCGAGCTTGCACACTGCGGGTTGCAGAACAGGGTTGCAGAAGCAGGGTGTACTATGATGCAGACAGGTGAAGCTGGCTTCCGATAATGCGCTTTTAGGCTGTTTTCTGGTTGTCCCAATCTCGTAATGGATCTCCAGACAGATGCTGTCCTGACAGTTTTCCGGAGAGGTCTCCAAGACTCTCAAAGTGTGGACGTACGTAGTCCTCCAGTCGAATTAATTTGCATTAATGGATAGTGCTCAGGTTCAGCTTGCTGCTCTCCGAGCCTCTGTGTCCTACCTTACTGCATGTGATCAACTTCAATTATCACACTCGCTCTCGCTACTCTATTCAATGCTAGACACATTACCTTCCCTTCCCAACATTCACCTTAAATCCTTCCTCAGCTCGCTGATGCTATTATGCTCATCTCATCCTAATCTCTTTGTGCCTCATATGGATGCCCTACTGTCTTTCTTGCGTGGTTTCATAATGCCAAGCGTTGACTCAGGCCCAACACCCACGGTTGCTAAGCCATTCCCCGGCACATCAAGTTTCACATTCCCTCCCGGCGGATCTGGCAGTCGGACTCCAGATGGCAATGACGAAGTCACAGAGGACGAGGAGAAAGAGTTGGTCAGAAAAGCTGCATTAGAATTTATGGTAAGTCTTACCGAGGCTAAGCCTGCATTGGCGAAGCGTTTGGAAGGATGGACGGCGGCTATGGTAAGAGCATCTCTAGAGGGCATGGGGGAATTACCAGAAGACACGTTAGATTCCTGGCTCGAAGCTGATGTAAGATACTTATCGTGCATTTCTCCAAGTATTTCACCAACTCAAATATCTTAGCCCTCAGAGGACGCACAAGATGAGAATTATCCTCATGTATTCGAGCAATCCCTCGATAGGGTGGCCTGTGCTCTTGGAGGTAAAGCAGCACTTCCTCTGGTGTTCCAATATATTCTGTCAATGCTCGCCAATACGACTGGAGATTGAGGCACGCTGGCCTGATGGCTATCGCAGGCATAGCCGAAGGCACGAACAAGGTTCATTTGGTTTATTTATGGCAAAGCCTAGGCCCACTCATTCGTCTATTATTAGGTGATGCAAATGGAACTTGGGAAGGTTGTTAAGTGCGCATTCTTCAGTTTATTGTCCGGTCCCTTTCATTGATCGTGTTCCCAGCCTCGTTACTCCAATGTTCAAGGACACACGTCCATGTGTCCGGTATGCCGCATATCAATCCGTGTACATTGCTTTTATTATCTCATGATATCCTCGCTTAATGATTGATGCAGTGGTCAACTATGTACTAATTTGGAGGTAAGTTTAGTCACCCTGCCACGATGATCCTCATAGATGCTTGTGCTCCAAGGAAATCATTCAAGATCGCTACCACAAGCAATTATTCGCTGTGTTGATCCCAACACTAGAAGCGCCAGAACCTCGGTGACTATTACATCCTTGATTCTGTCACTTGTCCTCTGCCTGATCCTCTATTTTAGTGTGCACTCGCATGCCGCTGCTGCCCTGATCAACTTTTGTGAAGGTGTTGAACGTGACACCCTTGTTCCTTATTTGGACCCGATCGTTGAGCGTCTGCTCAAGATGCTCAATCCAGGAGCTGAGGATGGCAAAGTAGTCAAAGGTTATGTTCAAGAACAAGCTATTACAACTCTTGTTATGGTCGCTGACGCCAGTGAGGCAACATTTGCTAAGGTATTATATTGCAGTCTTGCGTATCCATTGTTTATCTGACGCTTGCATATACAACAGCACTATGCCTCCATAATGCCTCTTCTTTTAAATGTTCTCCGCAACGCCAACAGTTCTGACCATTACAAGCTATGTGCGAAAGCCATGGAATGTGCTGGTTTAATAGGTAAGAAACAGTTGATATCAGCGCAAGTTTCCTTGACTGATCCTTGTCAGCAATTGCCGTTGGACGTAAGGTTTTCCGCGCTGACGCAAATACGCTTATTGAGCTTTTAATCAAAATCCAAAGTTCGTCCTTGACTGCCTTCAAATCAAATCTCGATAACCGTTTACCATGTATGATAGATTCTCCTGTCGATCCCTCGGACACCATGCTGCCCACCTTTTTAATTGCTACTTGGGCTAAAATTTGCCAAGCTCTCGGCATCGAGTTCGAGCCGTTCCTTCCTGTAGTCATGCCTCCACTACTGAACGCAGCCAGCGCAAAAGCCGATGTCTCTATTTATGGTAATGTCATTCATTCGGGTCACGGTACCCACTTACCTTGCTACACAGATGATGAAGACGATGTCGGCGAGACGCGAGAAGGCTGGGAGACCATCTCGATGGATGATCATATCGTTGGAATCCGCACTTCGACTATCGATGAGAAATGCCAAGTGTTCGACACACTCGTTGTCTATTGCGCGACACTTGGCGGCCGATTTGCACCTTATCTCGCCCAGAGTTTGGAGCTCTCCCTCTATTACAGCGGGATTGCCTCATGGGGCTGGTTTCACAATTACCATTACTGTTAAGACCATGCACAAAGGGTAGGACTGATTCTGAGGGGCTTGGCTTCAGCTCGTGCGCTGCGCCCCTTACCCGAGTATGTGCCCTTAATTTCAGATTGGTGTCCGAGGAAAGTCCGAAGACGTCCGAAGGACATCCGAAGGCGCGGGAAACTTCGGAAGGACTTTCCGGACGGGTGCAAGTAACTTCTGGATGAGTGCGGGAAAGTTCCGGAGGAACTTCCGGAAATTACAATGAGGTTTCGTCCTGATACGGATATGTGTAATGGCTACTCAGGACTTGTCCTGAGTAGAAGCAAACAGAGGAAAGGCTGCAAGGACAAAGTCCGAAGCAGAATAGGTCCGGAGGACCGTGGGAAACTTCCGGACAAACTTCCGGAACTTCGGATGAGTGGAGGAGCGGAGCTCTGGCCTAGGGAGAAACTCCCTAGGCCTGAGATGGATATCAACTAAGTTGGAAGACTAGAACTGATATGAGGACTTAGAGTGAAGACTAGTGCGAGGACTAATATGATATTCAGACTGAGGTACTACAAGACATATACACGAGTTTATATACTAAGAGAAATAACGGAAGGATCAATAAGCAGAGTCCGAGGCTATGTATGAAGCATATGCAAAGGTTGACAAACGCGAGTCGGAAATGAACATAGGTTAACGGATCAGTAAGCATACCGGTAATAGATATAACCGAGGTACCGGTAACAAGGAATACCGGATAGGCTGTGTTAACGTTATATGCACAGGAAATGAATTATGAAGCTTATCGTATATCGGATAGGAAACGGATCTATACATCGGATCGGACCGGATCGGATATGGTCCGGATGAGATGCGTGGATATATAGGATGTGGCATTAGGGCGATGGGAAAAGGATGAATGATGCAGGCTAGCTGCGAAGGATAAGGGATCTGGACGTGGACATGCGGATGTGGATGTGCAGAGGTGCAGGGATCCAGATGGGTACTGGAGACATGGATAGCACATCCGAAGGTCCGGATGAGGCGTGGGAATATTATCGGATGTAGGTCGGAAATACGGGATATGACAATTACGCACCACGGATATCTGGTATGTTTCGCATTCTCTGTCCTCATTGCACTACGTTCACGATTTCTTCAAGATTTATGCGGCCTTGGCGACATGTTGTTCGCATTCGAGCTGGGTAAATATCTGCCTTTCGAACAACTGATGGGCGTCCTCCCGCCCGCAAGCACGGATCACATTTCATTAGCATATCAAGTACGTTGAGTGGCCCTGTGTCGTGCATTAGACTAATCACTCATAGGATCTAATGTACGACGCAAATTCACCGATATTGGATTTCTACCCCCTCAAATTCGAGCAAGACCTAAGTGAGAAGAAGCAAGCATGGGAAGCGATCGTTAGGATTCCCTTCATTGATGAGCAGCGGCTGTTACAAGCAATGCATTGTGAGTGACAAGTTCCACTTTTTTCTGTAGTTTGTCATTGCTCCATGTGTGCAACCAGAGAACATAGGTCCTGACGTCGATGTCCTAGTGCACGTCCATCCGCTAAAAGGTGCGTACTGGTATTTTATCAACGTTCGTTTTTACACATTCATGCAGGTTTGCGATTCTGGACTAAGGAGGAGTGAAGCCGTGGCTCACATTGAAGGGGGCCTGAGATCTCGAGCCAGTTTCTCTCTTCTCGGACAACTCCACTGGCTCACGTCTCACGATGCCGCCACGCTTGTTGGAGCGCGAGAATTGAGCCTGCTCGACCCCTGAGTGCACTGCACCGTCTCAAATATATCCTGGAAGAACCATCATATCGCGCTCTCTTCCGTAATTTCCTGAAGGCGAACTTCTGTGAAGAGAATTTGGCATTTTGGATGGATGTCGAAGATTTCAAGCGCAACTTCAATACGACTTCTAGTGCACAAGCTGCAGCACCTACTCGGTCAGGCAGCAAACTGAGCGTGCGCAGGAAGGCGGCAAACGAGGGCGAGAGCTTCTTAAGAGTCGATATCTGGGATGTGAACAATGTGTCCCCACCGTTGTCGGCTGCGAGAGGAGAATGGACGTCTTAAGCCCGGGGGGCTAGCGAAGGTATATCTGTCAAAGAAATCGAACGGTGTAGAGAATCATGCCTCTCATGGCGTGATATGGCAGTTTCCACTAGGGAGTATACAGCACCAACTCGCAGCACCACTCTGTGTACTGTCCACAGCGATTCCTATATGAGGCGCAGCTTTCCCGCACAACGCACGCCATGCGCGCATAACTTCCCGCGCTTCGCGATGTATACGCGCGCGCGCTTTCCCGCGCTTGCGCGCCCTATAGCGCCAGCCATTCAGATGCATCCATCCACTGTCCACCAAGCTCCCTAGTACGTATATTTCCATTTCCTTTATTAGCATAGTTCCACCTTTATTTTTATCATGGATTCTCACTCATATATATCTTTACATACCTACTCGGTAGTGCTTCGGCTCCGCATGACCGCGCTTAGGCGCGCTATATAAGCGCCAGCAGTACATACTACACTTTACCTTACTTTTTCCCTTTAACTTACTAGTTATCACCCACTATTTACTTAGCAGTACATAGTAGAACTCCATTTTGTCTACACTTTGCATCTCTCTTTTCTTATATTGCATCATATTATCACTTAAGCTTAGTCTCTCTTATTACCGCTTACGCGCGCGCGCTTTCCCGCGCTTCGTGCTAATACGCGCGCGCTTTCCCGCGCCTTCGTACCTTGCGCGCACCTGCGCTTTCTCGCGCTTCGCGTTGCCGCGCATACCTCTAGATCTTTGCTGTCCTCACCTCCCCTTTAGGGTCGAACGCACTTGTCTCCTCAAGCAATGCAGACTAGGCAACGCGCGACCTATCAACATTTATAGATACTGCCAGGAGCATCATTTGTTCCTAGTAGTATTGTTATTTCTACAACGGGTTGCTGATGACATTGAAAAAAGCGACAATCAAGAAAGCTATTGTGAAGAACATCCCTCGCTACACAGTTCTGAAACCATCACACGCTATCTATCGACTTCAGAACCAGCACTTTGCTTTGAGAGACAGGGTGACTATTCGTTAGCTTGAACGTGGTCGATTGTGTTGGTTGGAGGGGGGGGTGACTAACACGGTCGATTGTGTTGGTTGGAGGGGGGGTGACTAACGATGTCCTCAGCTGGATTTGCGTTGATATTGATATTGATACTAACCTTCAATCCGATCGCCCTTTCCAAAATTTCAACATATTCGACAGCCCACGCCGCCATCTCAACATCACACTAACCCTTCTCCCCGAGTCCTCTACCCTCTCCCTCTCCCGTTTTTTCTCCATCTCCCGTTTCCTCATTTTCTTCGCCTCCCTCTGCCTCTCCTTCTCTGCCTCCCTCCTCTCGGCTACTATCTTCCTTGCGCGATCGATACCGCAGCAACGCTGATCCACCGTCAGAGTCAGGCACACAATCGGATACCACGATGGACCTCTTACCTCATCCTGAGGTGCCATGGTACAGGTAAGTCTTTCGATTATGATTCGATGTTGAGATACTGATTTCTGCACGATACGATGCGGAGGGGTGAAATCAATAACATTGATTTCCTTTTTCGGCGTGGGGGCTTGTTTCAAAGTCCACCGCCGTCTCCCGGACCGATTTCAATTTATCTCAACCGTTTGTTGTTTTCAAAATCTTGTCGATACAGTTGTTTCTCGTCCCGCTGTTTGTCAATTAATACTCGTTGAATTTTCGGACGGTTCCTTACAAGCAGTGAGAATTATCACCGGGTCCAATGCACACAACGCCCAGAGGGCTCCTTATTTTGCACTCAGGCGCTACTCTGGCATGTATTTGAGAAAGTCCTTGTATACGCAGTGCTTCAAGCCTTCGGCCTTCACAGTAAAACACTGTCAGCGAGCCTAGTATGTGAGACACATGGGAGTCACGTGAACTACTTTTGCGAAAGCCCATTCCATGCTTACTAGTCCACACCCGTTCTGCCTTCGGCACAGGTCGCAAAAAAAGAGCGCTTCGCGCTCTTTTTAAGCTCCCTGGCCTCAGCTTCATCCTAATAATATTTCTGAAGGCTGCATCCTAATAAATTGTGCATTTTGAATAAGATCACACCTCAATCATAGTAGATTTCGAAGAAGAGGTACATTTCTGAGCAGCATTGCAAAAAAACTAAAAGTACATAGTACATAAGATCAGTTGGTTCTCTCTATATATATATAAGTACATCAATCATTGATACGATCTGTGAGTCCTCTAAGCACTTCTGTATATACTACATTGGTTGTGTTTGAGCCTTCTTCATGCTCCGGAAATATCGCATACACTCTGTCTGGGTGAGTGCAGCGAGACAAAGCCACATAGAGCTGTCCATGACTGAAGACAGGAGTCCGCAAATTAAGGCCAACCCACTTGACACTTTGACCTTGCGCCTTGTTGATTGTCATGGCAAATGCAAGACGAACAGGGAATTGGCGACGCTTGAGGGGAATGGGGTTGTCTTCAGAAGTGGCATCCAGGGTCATGCGGGGGATGAGGACGGTATTTTGATTCTCTTGGTGGGCTGCATCAACTCCATCTCTAAGAATACGACACCTGAGGACATGAGTGGTCCAAGACAGGAGAATCATGCGAGTTCCATTATAGAGGCCTTCAGTGGGGTTTAAATTGCGCAGAAGCATGAGAGGGACACCTGCTTTGACCTCCAATTTGTGCAAAGGGAAGCCTGATGGGGTGAGAGTGTGAAGGAACTCTGTGGGAATGTAGTCGTATTCCCTCTCAGCAACTGAGTCTGCGCTGGTGAAGACTGCTTTATCTCCGGGGAATGATTCAAGAATAGTCGTATTGATTTCATCCACATCTGTATTCTTTGCAGAGAGGATGGTACGTTCCAGGAAGAAGGTATCATCTGGGGGAGGATGCCCAGGGAGCAGAACTCGAGAGTATAGGGCATTGATGAGAGACTGGACATCATTGTTGGCACATCGCATTTGGATTGGGAGGGTCACGGTTCCATCCCTATCTGTGCCCTTGCCAGCACCAATCTCAAGGAGCCACTTTGCAAATTCATCAGAGGCAGGATCTTGACCAAGCCGCATATTTGTCTTGAGGTGGAAGATGCGAAGCTTTGGCCATATGCAAGATCTGCAAAAGGTAGCACCCACTATCTGCTCCCTGGATCCATGAGGCACCACCGGCAGGGTCTGTCTGAAGTCTCCTCCAAAGAGTATCGTTATTCCTCCAAAATCAGCATCTACGTCCAGAAGGTCACGCAATGTGCGGTCGAGGCATTCCAAAATATGACGATGAAGCATGGGGATTTCATCGCAGATGATGAGAGAGGTGGCTTTGAGAAGCTCATGGATGACATCTCCTTTCTTGATGTTGCAGGAGCTGTCCTCATTAATGGGAATAGGAATTTTGAATCGTGAATGAGCTGTGCGTCCACCTGGCAGGAGGAGAGAGGCGATTCCAGAGGAAGCCACGCATAGGACGATCTTGCCTTCAGCGCGGATTTTTGAAGCAATGAGCTTGCAGAGATATGTCTTTCCACATCCGCCTGCGCTGTGGACAAAGTATGCGTGTCCAGGTCTTTGATCATTATGTTGCATTGCATCATCGACTACCGCATCAAAGACCGCCCTCTGCTCGGCATTGAGAGAATTAACTCCTGGTTCTACCATCTGCTGAAGCTGCTCCCGGTCATACTGAAGCTGCTCATAAATGAGCTGGTTGCCCTCCATTACACCCCATCTTTCTGCCATTTGAGACACGGGCATTTGAGGGATTGCTTGCAAAGACTTTCCATTTTTGCGAAGGATGCCATCAATGAGATAGAGACCATAGTCGTGGACCTCTTCTTCTGCAGGGTCTGGTATATTGAATGGTGGTTGAGAGAGATGGTAGCGCAAATCATCGCACAGATGATTCTTGAAGCGGTTCCAAAGGTCATCAGGGCTTGTAGGATTGCAGTGTATGAGGATGATGGAAAAGAGATTTCGCATGCCATGTCCAGTGCTCATATGAGAGGCATCCTGCAAACACTGGATCCATTCATTATCGTCTTCAAGCAGACCCCTGCGCCGACATGCTTCCTTGAAAGTCTCGCACACAACCCCTTGAAATGTCCGTAGGTGCTCATAGGAGGTGGCTCCTTAAAAAATAAAATATGGTGAGTTTTATTGATAAAAATTGTCATAGATGTCTCACCTTTTACTACAGTCAAAAGCAATCTCAGGTAGAAGCGCTCTCCAGAGCCAGGGGCGGCAGAGTACATCCTTCCAATCGCCATTCCACGTTCACGTATCTTCCATGCTGTCTTCTTCCACACAAATTTTGAGGGGAAATCCTGATAGAGGTAGTCGTGGGCTCCGGCTGCCACCAAGTTCGCGTTGGCATTGGCTTTGAACCATCCAGTGAGGTGAGTCTCTTTAGCAGCTGCGCGCTCAAGAACATCCTGGGCATCATCATTGGGGTCATAGAACACCATATGTTCGTCTGGGAGGTGGACCGGCAAGCGGTAAACAGAGGGCCACTCGAGATGCATCTCATTTTCTAAGATGCGCCATACAGCCTCAATCGAGCTAATATACCTGGAGTCAAGGTATGATTTGACCTCATCCACTGGTTCTCCCATCTCCAAAGTAGCACGGTCATTTCCTTTGTAGATATACTTATGGATGTACTTGACAGAGTTGATAGAAGTGCAGACTTCCAGATTTATGTGGCAGTTGAATTCCACCAGCAGTTGGGGAGGGTGGGGAACCACATCTTTGTTGGTGAAGACGACATCATTCTTCTGGATGGTGCGACCATTGTCGGGTCTGGCATACTCGGGATAGCCATCCTCCTTCATCACAGTCTCTTCACAGAAAGACTTTGGATAATGTTTCTTGCACTGTCCATTCTCCAAGCAACGCTGCGGAGAGCAGGGGCCATGGAGCATATATTTTTCCACAGCCTCATAGAGTTGTGGATGGACATTTCTGTCAGGGATCTGGGTGGAGATGAAGGAATTGACCTGCTCTACGGTGCGTATCTTGTGATCTGGTTCCAGGAAGATGAGAAGATGCATGTGGGGGAGACCACGTTTTTGATATTCAATGGTGTACACCAATCCTGCGACCTTCCCATAGTAGCCTTTGCGAACCTTCTTCAGGAGGGCCTGCTGCTTTTGATAGAATACGCGAGCCACTAAGTCTGGACGGTCCACAGCGGCTTGACCTGCATAAGCAATGGTCAGTGATCAAGCCACAAACAATCAGTGAAAAACATGAATTTCTTACCTGGGAGGAGATTCTCAGTAATCTCAGGCCAACTCCCATTTGCAGTCATGGTCAGAAAGAGATCAGGCTTTTTGCAGGCACGGCAAATTGCTAATGAGTCTTGCAGCAGCTGGTGCATGTACCGAGGACCTCCAGTATGAGAGGAGGGAAGGATGATGGCACGACCTGTCTGAGCCAAATTGCCCACACCATCATTGAGAATGTTGTCTGTCAGCCCTCGGTAGCAGTCAGCCCTGAGCTGCTTTTGATTATTTCTGACCCAGTTCAGTCTACTCTGCTCGATGGATGCCCAAGCATCCACCACGTACTGCTGGAATAGCCTTCCAGCACGAAAGATATTGCTGGGATCGATGTGATTCGGGCGGATATGTATTCGATAGGCATAATACAGGAGCTGAGTGACTTTTTTTGCACGGGCCCGCCCACCCTCATTGATGTTCATAGGAATGTCAAGATGCCAACCCTCTTCACCTTTAGGAAACAGAAGAACATAATGGAGACATGCATATGCATGACTGAGCTGGCTGATGCGTCAGAGTCCACCGCCTTGAAGATGTAAGATGATATCACGTGCATCAGTCACCTCCTCGGATCCATCTCCAGGAAGAATTGCAGCAATTTCATTGGCGGTGGGCAGGTTGTACCTTCGACCATCTGTGCCCTGCTGGAAGTGAATCCGTACTTGAACTTCTGTGTGCTGCTCTGGTGGCTTTTCATGCATGACTTGATAGGCTTGCTTGTAAAGGGGGGCATAAGGGTGGTGTCTGAACAGCATGTCATGAAGGACTCTGAGACGGTTGCGATCAAGATTTTCATTTCCAGGGCGGTTGGTGCGAAAATCGGTGGCTTCTTCAGTGTCGTATATATAAAGTTGAGCATAAGAAGGCTGAAGACCTTCTGGAGCCATGAGACTGCCCATGAGATGGTGAAGAGCACCATGAATACGAAAGGCATTAGGGCCAGACCCTTGAAGAGCTCGGTCCTCGATGTCGACACCAACAGATGTAAATGCAAGAGAACTGTTGTACTGTCTGATCTTGGAGACAAATCTTCGGTCTGTATATGCCTCCAGCAGCTCAGGTGGCCATTCTGGTAAGGGCGGAAGGCTGACTTGGCCCTGCAAGCAGCACATACCGAAGCGTGGATTACGTAGAGAGGAGTTGGAGAGCCTTTCGGATGCAAAGTGCTTGGCATGACAGTTACGACACTCTACATTAAGAGGACCAAGAGTGTTGCGGTCAATTGGTTCACTGTAAGGTCGGGCTCCATCAGGAATATGAACCACCTGATTGACATGCTGGTCATCCTCTGCCTCACGCTGCTGGCGGCGTTCCTGCTGCTGGGTTCTTATTCTTTCTTCATCGTTAGCATGCTGCTCCTGAGATGCTGGATCATTGTATTCACGGAAAGCCTCTTCAAGACGCTCATCCTGTTCACGAATCCTTTGTTCCCGCCGGCGTTGAGCCTCCTCTTCCTCTTGACGTACTCGCTGAAGATCTTGATCCTGTCTGTTCTGTAGCTCCTCTTCCTGCTGTTGCATTTCAAAAGCATGTTGAGCTTCTCTATTAAGCTGCTCAGCTTGCCGTTGCTGCAGGTGAAGAGCTTGCTGCTGCTGCAAGCGAAGAGCTTCCTGCTGCTGCAATTGAGCCTGTCTTTGAATTCTGTCAGCTTCTTGTTGCTGCAAGCAAAGAGCCTCCTGCTGCTGCAATTGAGCTTGTCTTTGAATTCTCTCAGCTTCTTGTTGCTGCAAGTGAAGAGCCTCCTGCTGCTGCAATTGAGCCTGTCTTTGAATTCTGTCAGCTTCTTGTTGCTGCAAGCGAAGAGCCTCCTGCTGCTGCAATTGAGCCTGTCTTTGAATTCTCTCAGCTTCTTGTTGCTGCAAGCGAAGAGCCTCATGCTGCTGTAATTGAGCCAGTCTCTGGATCCTCTCAGCTTCTTGCTGCTGCAATTGAGCTTGTCTTTGGATCCTTTCAGCTTCTTGCTGCTGGAGGTAAAGAGCCTCCTCCTGCTGCAATTGAGCCTGTCTACGGACCCTCTCAGCCTCTTGCTGCTGCAATTGTAGCCGCACTTGATTTCGACGGAATTCCTCCTGTGCTTGCCTTTGAAGCAAGTCATTTCTAATGTGCTCGTGTTCCCTTTGCTCTGCATTGATATGATTTTGAAACTGAAGGTTAAACTGCTGATAATCTGGTTCTGGTAGTGCAGGCATAGGTGGTGCATGATTAGGTGCAAGGTAGCGCAGGGGATTGTCAAAGTTGTGAGGACCAACAGCACCCTCATAATGAATAGGGCCATATGCAGGAGGAGCGGGAGGAGCAGGTTGAATGTGCTGGTTAGGAATTGGAAGCACCTGTGGAGGCTGCATGAGTTCTGCCTGTGCCTGCTGTCTTATCTCGTCTCTGTCCTGTTGCCGACGAATATTACGTCGACGGCGTCTATCATTATGAGCTGCATTCATTTGCTCATTCAAGCGTGCATTATAATCCACTGGAGGATGATGATGAGCACGCTGCACTTGCGCAATTGCATTTCGTGGCAAGCCAGGATACTGCTCGACTGGTAGCGGTCGATATCGAAAGTAGGGAGGAGGTTGCTCCACAAAAGGTTGTGGAACAGGCCCTGCTTGGGGCTCATTAGCCGGCACAAAATTAGGCTGGGGTACAGGAGGTGGAGGCCTATTCTGATTGTCATGGGCAGCATGGCGACGATTGCGCCTCGTAGGAGACGTCATCTGGAGTCGATTGACTCTATCGCGTTCACGTTGCGAGTGACGGTCGCGTTCGGGTGTTATTTGATCTTGATTTCTAAATAGTACGTGCAGACATTAGCATCATGCACCTTATGCATAGCAATATATCAGCAACTCACAGAATAGGTATATATCCATCCATGGTTGTTAAATTCAAACGGTTGTTTAGCGAGTGCAAATTTTGCCTGAATTCATCAATAAGTCATTTCTATCATCATTGATAAGAAATGAAACCCACAAAAAGTGTATATATCACACTTGATTAAACTTGGCTGCAGGGGAAGGCAATTTAGCTCGAGAACGCTATTCAAAAGCAGCAGCCAAGTTGTGTAATGATTTGTGTAACCAAAAGTGTAATCAAATTTCTAATTATTGCTTTTGTTATTCTCGATGCCTTTCCCCCATGAGAGGAAAAGTCAGTTGTTTGTCCGTGTTGTACACGCAGTGCAGTAAGCATGAGGATCACTGTCCACTATATCGCGTTTGGCAGTATTTTCGGACTCGGCAAAAATTTCTCTCAAATTGGATTTTTTTCGTTTCAACTCTTACTTAGTCTTAGTCTTAGTTTTAGCGAGCTCACGTGAGAAAACCACGCGAGTTTCCAAATAGAAGTTCAAGCGAGGTAAGCGAAAACCATGTGGCCTTAGGCGAATCTAAGCGTATCTAAGCGTATCTAAGCGTATCTAAACGAAAACCACATGGCGCTACGCGAAAACCACGCGAGCGCGCGAACATTTCCGAAACCTTTCTCCCTTTCTTCTTAAGATTGGCAATTCAAAGCATTTGTTACGAAGAACGAGACTACTCCAGGACAACGGGAGTACTCAACACGCGGGATGTATTTAAAGTGATAGCACAATACCTTAACCTCGCTGCAAACTTTTATGCTTATCTAGATGTGATGACCGGTGCTAATGCCACTTTCCGAGATAAAGTCATCAATAGCCTTGTAGCTCAAGGCACCAACGAGCTCACGCCCGTTGTGCCTTCGGCACAAATCGAAGGAGCGCTACGCGCTCCTTCAGGGGAGAAAAATGAGTGTTGTTCCTTCGTCACAGGAAGCCAAGGAGGGCTACGCCCTCCTTTGGCTTCCTGGCCTCAGGCTGCATCCTAATAAATTGTGCATTTTGAATGATTTTGAAATATATTTATGAGCAGCTTTTCAAAAAAACTCAAAGTACAATCTATCACACCACATAAAAGTACATAGTACTACATACAATCAGTCAGTGCTATGTTCTTTGAGCAGGATTTTGACCAATATAAAAATACAAAATATGTAACAGTATCATTGAATGTATTTGTTTTCCCATTTTTCCCTGCTTCCCATCTAGGGATCAGCAGGGGTATGGGAAACCCTTGAGGGTAGGGGTAGGGGTTTGGATCTGAAGACCCCTGTACCCCTGGGAATATACCTCCAAATTGATTACCATAGGAGTGATGGATCAGTATAAAATTTTGAAGTTGTACATGTGCCTTCAAATGGTAATATATGTGATTGGAAAAAATGTTACCATGGGGTATACCCATGCTAATCCCTACTCCCTACTCCCTACTCCCTACTCCCGTCTCCTGTCTCCCGTCTCCCATCTCCTGTCTCCCGTCTCCCGTCTCCCGTCTCCCGTCTCCCGTCTCCCGTCTCCCGTCTCCCGTCTCCCGTCTCCCGTCTCCCGTCTCCCGTCTCCCGTCTCCCGTCTCCCGTCTCCCGTCTCCCATCTCCCGTCTCCCATCTCCCATCTCCCGTCTCCCATCTCCCGTCTCCCGTCTCCCGTCTCCCGTCTCCCGTCTCCCGTCTCCCGTCTCCCGTCTCCCGTCTCCCATCTCCCGTCTCCCGTCTCCCGTCTCCCGTCTCCCGTCTCCCGTCTCCCGTCTCCCGTCTCCCGTCTCCCGTCTCCCGTCTCCCGTCTCCCGTCTCCCGTCTCCCGTCTCCCGTCTCCCGTCTCCCGTCTCCCGTCTCCCGTCTCCCGTCTCCCGTCTCTGTTCTCTCAGTCTCCCATCTCCTGTCTCCTGTTCTCCCATTTCCCCATTTTCCTGTCATCACATTCTCTGGTTTTTGAGTCTACATTGTCTTTGTCTCCTTTTTTTATTTGAATCTTATCTCCTGTCACCACATTTGTTATCTCCCTGTCTGTAATTGTATCATATGTTGTTCCATTTATGTACATATACAGTCACTACTAATAATTGCAGTAGGCAAAACACTCAAATCCTGTTGTCCCCCTGCTCAAACACATTATTTAATGCCATGTACACATACAGTTACCAATGTTGTTGCGCAACATTCCCAATGGGTGACGTTGTTTGAGTCGCCGCTCGAAATATACATGAAAACCACGCGAGTTTCCAAATCGAGGTTAAGCGAGGTAAGCGAAAACCACATGGCCTTTGGCGAAATACGCGAAACATGCGAAATACGCGAAACATGCGAAATACGCGAAAGCCACGCGAGCGCGCGAACATTTCCGAAAACCGTTGTACTTTACTTCTCTCGAAAACAACACCGTCCGCTGGCGGGCGTGACGCTTCGGCGAACGCCGTTTTCTTGATGACGTGAGCGAGGAACGTCATCCGCTTCAGTCACGCTTCGACGGTGCTTTCCTTTTCATTTAGGCCCCCGGAACCGTTCGACACAGAGTACTGACCCTTTCCCTGGCTCTTCTAGATCGCAGCAAACCCACCCAGCACCACCCCTGACTCGCAAGGAGGTTTCTCCGTGGGTGGTGCCATTGCCCTGGCATTGTTCGTCGTCTTCTTTGGTCTCCTCGTCACCTATCATTGGTGGAGGCCGCACATCCCACTCGAGTCGTTTTTCGGCTGGTGCCCTTGCTTTATCCCGGTCCGCACCAACCATCGCAACACCCACTTCGTGAGCTGCCGCTCCACCATCGTCACAATGACCCCGATTGTCAGCCATGCAGCCACCAGGGGCACATGCACCACTGCTGCAGCAGACTCGTTCTGCAGCGCTGATGCACGTGCATTCGAGCAGAGAGCTCAGCTCTCTGTCTCGTCTGATGCTGGGACATCACAGCTGTCTCAGGCTGTTGGTCCAGGAGATGCTGACCAGTCACTCCCTTTCCCGCTTCGTTTCAAACCGGACGGTGAGCCGGAGATCCACTACCTTCCAGTGTGAGTTTCAGTTCCCTCTTCCCCCCCCTCCCCTCGCTGAAATTTAATGGGTGTGGGTAGCTACACGATGACCGTCAAAGCAATGAGGCAGCAATGCCTCCAGCTCAACCTACCTTCGTCAGGCACCAAAGCCATTCTTCGCGAGCGCCTCGAAGGCTTCAGTCGCGACCAAAACTTGTGGGATAGGTATGTGAAACCATGCTTCTCCCTGTTGTCTGTTTCAGCGTGCTCACAAGTCATCTCATCTTCAAGCCTCAGGCCCGGAGCTCGCAAAGCTCACAAAGGCCCACGGACAGATCCAGCAAGCAAGGCCAAGGCACGCCGCATGAAGCAGTCAACACAGCGTCGTGCCGAGTTGCTTGGTGACTCTGAAATGGCCTCTGACACCACTGCCACAACCCGCTCCAAAGACACTCGCACGATAGCTGAAGTTGCAGCACTGTTACCTTGGGTGAGTAACTGCTTCCTCCTGCCCCCCTCCTTTCACAATACTGATGCGCTACACGGGCAGGCTGATGCTATCAATTGTGCATTCCCATATGCGCTGACAGATGGTCAGCTTGCACCAGCTGCGAGCACCCCCTGCCCCACTCCTGCAAGTGCTGGTGCTGATGCGAGCTTGCAAGATGCGATTGTCCAGAGTGTGGGCACAAGGCTCGTCGACATTGTTCAAGGTGCCCTCCTCCTCCAGCCAAATCCAGTTCAGGTTGGGCTACCTGAGGCCGGGCCCCAGGATGCAGGCACCTCTGCTGGGTGCACACCAGAAGAACCTGCACCAGCCATGGAGACGAGCACCAAGAGGATGCGGGTTCTCAAGCTTGGGAATGGCACATTGCTGCAAGTGGCTGACGACGAAATCCCAGACCCACCTGCCATCAGTTTCGTCAACGACATCCCTCGGCTCAATGGAATGTGGGACGATCACACGGAGCACTGGCAGGGCACGTCCATCATCAACATACAAGGCCACCCAATTGCAATTGAGTACTGGCCTTTGCTCTATCGCTATGGCCATGATCAGCAATGGAAAGGTACGAAAAACAAGTGGACTGACTGGCGTGTATGTGCAAGCTTCTCCTAACTGGCCTTGACTGATCTGATTTGTTGTTTCACAGGACATTGTCGAGCGGTACCGACGAGGCACCCCAGAACAGTTCTGGGCCAGTTTCAGGGCTGCCAATGGTGAGCCTCTGAAGTTCACTGCCATTATTCACAGGCTTCGTGAGGAGCGCAAGGAAGCACACTTTGCACTTGTGGAACGTGCTCGCGAGGAATATGGCTCAGACTTTTTCTTTACTTACCGAAAAGGAGGTGAGGAGCACACCATGACGAGGCCATCTGCGATTGCAAAGAAATACAAGGAACTCATGGTTAGCAACTCGAAGGAGGTCTGTGATTAATTGTAGTAGGCTCTACTTGTCGTTACAATGTAAATTTTATCTCGCTAGTATGACCTTATGGACTGTGGTATTCATAAACACATTTCCTCAATCAAAGTGTGATCAAAATGTAATCAACACCGTTTTCAGCCCCCTAGCTGCCAGCCCTACAAGCACCAATTTCCCGACTTCTGCTGCAAAAACATGATCAAAAACGTGAGTTGACTTTCATTGTGAATCATTGGCATCAGTCGCACATTTCCAATCAGCCTCCATTCGAAGAATGGAGGCTTTGTGATTGGAAATGCACGACTGATGCCAATGATTCACAATGAAAGCCAACTCACGTTTTTGATCATGTTTTTGCAGCAGAAGTCGGGAAATTGGTGCTTGTAGGGCTGGCAGCTAGGGGCTGAAAACGGTGTTGATTACATTAGGGGCCCTCCCAGAACTTGAACTTAAACCACTTCAAAATCACTCACACTTGTAACTTGGGAATCCATCACACTTACAGCTTGAAGATATCTATCTACTAGGTACCACTCGAATTTCATCTCCACTGAACAAAGGCCTGCACTGACAGCATTACTACTGCAGTCCTGGAACCTACTATACTAGCTGCCATGTCGACACCGTTCAACGAATACACCAGAGACACAGGCAGCAGCAGTCCTGAGAACTTGGATGTTGAGATTCATGCTGTTGATATCCTCCATTTTGCCCGTCTTGGTTTTGCGGCATCCATCAAACTACTCTCAGAGCAGCATGGGTTTACCGAAGGGGTCATTCAGAAGGTATACAGACAACTAGAAAACTATGCGGAGGCCATGGACATCATTGAGATGATGCGAGATGATGCAGAGGAGCGGGCAGTAACTGAGATTTTGAAAAGACACGAGGATGACAGTGATGAAGACTTAGAGGGGGATGAGGGTGTCAACGGCCCTGAGGAGAGTAAGGATGCAAAACAAGATCAGGATCAGGACAAAGTCAAAGAAGAGGAGGAGTAAACGAGCATGTTGCGCAGTTGCTGTCAATATACATGGAGTGCTGTATACTATCTAGGCTAGAGTCCTTGCTGAAAATTGCTTCATCGTCGCCTCGAACATATGAAATTCAGCCACAAGGGCAGCATCTCCCACAGTGTGGGCACTTGACAGTGGGAGGTCTATCAGGATTGAAAAAATGCTCCCTCGGCTCGACAGGGTCGTCGTTCGATGAGATGAGATATTTGACTATGGTCAGATTCGAAAATTCAGCACTCCAGCCTCCCCACTCACAGATCTTCCTTAGCGCCCAACGCCTTTCGATGTGTAGGTACTGGCAGCCTCCTCGTCGGAATGAGTGGGTGCCATATGGGGCCGGATCGATGCCTATGTCCAGCAAGTTGTTGCGAAAAAGCTCTAAGAATTGTTCGGAGGTCTGTAAGTTCATCAGCAATGTTTCTGGCTACCAGAGCATCACCAAAACTCACCATTGGAGTGTTGGCCTCTGCTATGCGGTCACCTGAGGCTATTTTCCGAAAAACATACCCAGACTTGATCCTCGACTCGGACAGCCAGGCTGCAAGGGCTCTGACAGGGCAGATGTGGGCCTCGTGTGGTGGGAAGGCCCACAAGTGGAAGGGTTTGATATCTGGGTGGTAGTTAGTAGATATGAAAACAAAATCAACCTTGGCACATCACGCACCTCCATTCTGATGTGTCTTGCGGAAAGGAAGGTGTAGCGTCACCCCCTTCTCGAACACTCCAAAATCGTGCGCCTGGATCTTGAGGACTTCGTCGAAGCGCAGCATGCACACAAATGCTATGGTGTATGCGGCCTGCAACAGCCTCCGAGCACGGCCACCACCCCAGCGGTGTGAGTTGAGGCGCTCGCCAGGCTGGTAAGGCTGAATAGCCCAGTTTTCGTCGAGGTGGTTGTGGTGGTAAAGTTTGAACAGAATGTCCTGTGAGGGGTTGACTATCATTATCCACGACTCAGGAGGCCAGACATTGCTCACCGTTGTTATGGCACGGGCACTAGTTGCCACCTCACCAGCCTTGACCTACCCAGATGTTCAGTAACTGAGGCTCGTCAGGATCAGGGTGAAAAAAAAGGTCACCTTGCGACGTCGGAGCGAGCACATGAAAGAGGACACCTCCGTTGATATGGAGGGATTGCCAACCATGACACCACCTCCAACATCCGACTCGTGCCACCACATATTTCCAAGCCCCTGGAGCCTACCAAACGCGTATGTCATAGAGGCACGCATCTTTTGGGCATGCCCATATGTCCCTCGCTCTTCACTCAATGGCTTCTGTGTGCCATCAAGGTTGATCGAGTCGCACCTTTGAATCATCATCAACCTGTCCAAGCCAGAGTGTGTGTCACTCACGAGTTCATGATCCAGGCCACTATCAGCCACGGTGTGTCAGCGCGTGGTCTTTTGCCAAAAAAAACCTCATTTTTGCGCAGCAAGTGCAAGCCGGTGAGGAAAGCAACTGCCTGATTCATTAGCCTGCCATAGGTAGTAGTCCACCTTAAGTAATTGTGAGGGGGTCAAAGAAAATACAAACACGAACCTCCTGTATTCTGAGTCCGTGCCTTCGGTGACACCTTTGGATGCATCCATGAGTGTGGACTGGAGCTTCGCGAAGTCGATGGTGCTGTCTGTTGGGCTCGAGAGCACTGATTGAAGGGGCACATCAACGAGAGTCTCCTGCTCAGCAGTGACATCCTCTGTGATGTCATCCATTTCGAGGCTGCTGGCTGATGCGGATGGAAGGAGACCGCATAGACCTGGAAAGTGTTGAATGGACTTGGGTAGTACAGTAGACATGATGGTTTGAAGGTACGAGGGAGTGCTCACCACGAAACCCCTCTCGGAGATGAATTTGAAATCAAGCCACTTGCCTGGCATGCAGTTGGGTTCGAGAACCTGGGGTTGCGAAGGGGGAAAGGAAAAAGAAAACAAGTGAGAGCCAAGCCAAGTCTGGACAGTCTGGTGACACACCTGGGACCGTCTTAGCGCTCGCTCGGACAGTCATTTTCATTGGTGGGCATGCCCTGCTATACCTAGCCTCCCTTGGCTTTGCAGGGAGGCGCACTCGTCCACCAGAGGTTTCTTTGTTGAAAAATGACGGTCTCAGCTGCGTGACATCGTGAAACAAAGCATTCACAAGAAAAGTGACTCACCCAAGAGAGTCCGAACACGCTCGATCGTCGCCATCATGCAAAGCTGTCCATCAGAGAGTCCCTGGAAGTTCTTACTTAGTGCTGGCAAAATACTTGTATTCAGCAGTGAGCGGAGGAGCCTAAAATCGAAGCACACACCTTTTGTTTTGAAATCGGTTGCTAAAACAGCGCGATCCGCCGCGGATCTGATTCTCGAGATCCTTGCAGGGGCAGAAGAAGAGGGAAGGCAAGGGATGACGGCACGAGCAACGAGCATACTCACCATATAAAAATGGTGGTACTGGGTAGCAGTCACCCTCTTCAAAGCGCCGTTCTCTTCCCAACCACCATCCTTCCCATTCCCTTCTCCAAGAAAACCAGGCTGGCCAGAAAGCACGATGCCTTCGGTGAGTTGCTCGATTTGTCGTGCTTTCGCCTCCGTGATGTCCGCGATACCGCCGTGTCATCCGAGTTTCTAGTACGAGAAATTAGCGTTAGCATTAGCATTAGCGCTGAATGCTCTTAGCGTTCGCAACCAGGCTCACCTTCGTTCTTGATTCCTCTCCCCTTTGTTCCTCCTCCCCGTTGCATGCCGGTGGGTCGCAAAGATTTGATTCGACGGGCAGAGATCTGGTGCCAGAACCAGGGGGGGTGAGTCCTCTGCATCGATCGAGCTGACGGCTCGTGTTGGTATCGGTCAATCAACCGCTTGATGATGGCATCAGTCACGAACGGTCACGACGTGACCGTTCGTGACCCGACCGTCGTTTTTCCCGTTTGAAACCATACTTCTTAGATATTTAGCAGACGCAAAATTATATTCGTCTATAGTTCACACGGCTACAATATCGAGGACTGATGAATTCACTGATGACGTGTCCTGGGCGTCTAATGATACACGAAGCACCCGGCCGCCGTACACCGTGTACCTCTGGAACTTATATTAAGATTCAGGACGCCCGCAGTCTCTCTAGCAAGTCGTGCTCAACACCATTGACCTCGAGCGGAATGACGAAAGCAAAACACCCCGTCATTCGAATCACCACCCCCAATCGAACATTTCGAGGTCATAGAGATACTCTCTTTGGAGTCGCAGTCTTTCCCGATAGACGCCATATGGTGACATCTTCGGCCGACAAGACGCTTCGTTTCTGGAACCTGGAAGACGGTGTTGAATTGCAGATAATGGAGGGACATTCCAACCTAGTGGAAGGATTTGCACTATCAAGAGATGGGAAATGGATGGCAAGCGGTGATCGTAGTGGAGAGGTCATAGCCTGGAACAACGACGGGGAACCTCTCACCCAGCCCATCAAAGTCCACTCCCAAAGGATACTGTCGCTCGACTTTTCCCCAGACAGCACATTGCTAGCGAGTGGCTCATATGACACTACTGTGGAGCTCTGGAACACCAAAACATGGCAGGTGCAAAGAAATCCAATCAGTTGTGGCGCTAAAGTCCTCTGTGTTCGGTATTCACCATCTGGTGAATATCTTGCCATCGCAACCGAGTCAAATATCCAAATATGGAATCCAGGCAAGAGGGATTGCATCGCAAAGTTCCAGGGTCACTCTGCGTATGGAGCATGGAATCAGTCATTAGCGTGGACACCTGATGGCAAACAGCTTCTTTCGGCTGGTAGTCGTTGTGATGAAACCATAAGGATCTGGGATTCATCGACCTGGAAGCAGGTCGGTGAGCCCTGCAAGGGCCATGCTGAGGCTATCTACATGATTGCCCTCAACCCTGCCGGCACCCTTTTCGCGACCGCGTCTGGCGACCACCAGGTTTACCTTTGGCGGCTTTCGGATCAACAAATCATTGCCATATTCAAACACACCGAAGTGGTGTGTTGCGTCGCCTTCTCCATGGATGGCAAGTACATCCTGAGTGGAGGAGCAGATTTGATGATCTCGAAGTGGGCAGTACCTTCGCTAGAGGACGTTCTCGAGGACCAGGCAACAGATGTAAGATTTTGTTCATTTTCCATCCCTTCTTCATCTCATTTTCTCCGAGGATGCATTACGGGTGGACACTCTGAAGGAACATGCGGCAAATAATGTGAGCTCCCGTCCATTTACAGTCGGTTCGTCTTGTATGTTGATCATCAATCTTGATGCCAAGGCTCAACAGCCTGAATGCGAGGTATATTTCTAGCTTTTACGCCTGCCACTTAATTTGACTATGCATCATGCAGATCCTCACTATCAGCACGATAGCCCGTGATGCATGCATAGCCGGAGACTTGCTCGCTGCTGACAAACTGTTAACACAAGATATCGCCGCCGATGGCAATGACTACAAATCTCATGCGAATCGTTCGTTTGTCAAGGCAAGAAATTCAGACTGGGACCACGCACTTGATGACGCGCTCAAAGTGAGATGCACCATTTCGTCCTGACCTTTTCAAAACAGACTAACTTATATGGCGATGTAGAGCATCAGTATCAAGCCATCCTTGATGGGCTGTATATCCAAGGGCATCGCCCACTGTGGAAAAAAACAGTTTCGAGACGCGATGAAAGCATTTGATATCGCGTTCATGTACGTGGATGCAGACTTGAATCAAACTCGTCTTCTACTCTTGATTAAGGTATGTCAATTGTGTCTTACGTACTCGCTACTCACACGACAACCATTAGGCCATCGCCCTTTTCAACGCAAATCAACATGACGAGGCGATTCTGCGCGTTCAAGAGCTAGCTACCACTCGCCCCGATCCAAATTCTCATGCGTGTGGTGTCGTGGAAGTGAGTGCTCCTGACACAGTCAACTCCAGATTAATGCATCGATGCTGATTTTGCGAACCTCGCACTCCAGGCTTATCTACACGTCCAACTGGGAAAGCATGCATTAGACGACGCACGTCACAACGAGGCGGCTGGCCACTTCACTGCTGCTGTCAACACTATTAATTTCTTGTCTGTGTCGGCCATCCACTCTAGCTACGATGTCTTCGTGGTGGTAGGTTGATTGAAATGTAACCGGAAATCTTTTCTTGTCGTCTCACTGTGCTTTTTCTAGTTATTTGGGTGGGATCTGCGGTCTTTGTGGCGAAATGCACATCAGAATTGGTGCGATGCGCTCCTTCGGGCAGGTAGACTTCCGGAAGCCATCAAAGCATACCGATACATGATGGACAGGACTGATGAGGCTACGAAAGCACGCTGCCTTGATTGGTCCACTGGCGAGTCTTCTTGATGTAAACCTCGTATAACTCTCATCCTTATCTTACTCAGGTTTCAAGCAAAATTGCAGCGTTGTCTATGCTGCTGCTGCTGGAGTGACTGACCTCGCTGTGGGCGGAGATGAAGCCCTCGCTGCGGGTAATTACGACAAGGCTATCGAGCTTTACTCCGCAGCGATCGATCTCGACTTCGCAACCCATACCACCTTTGCGAACCGCAGTAAAGCGAGGTCGGGAAAAATGCTATGGAACGATGCACTCCTCGATGCGGAAAAGGTGGGATGACAGTTACCATTTTGTATTCAACGCTAATTTTGGTGATACGCAGGTCATTGAACTCGACCCTTCATCTTACTTTGGATATCAGTTGAAGCATGCGGTGCTTCATGGCGCACATCGATATGATGAAGCCATCGAGGCGCTCAAAACCATGCTCTCCAAGTTGGAAAGTGCTCCCGATACAGAAACAAGAAGTACGCCTCAAATATCACATCTTTCAAACATTGTTGACTCTCTGTCCAGACTTGCGCCAACAGTATATTAGTCCATCCGAAGCAGAACATGCTATTGAAGACAGCATTAAGGCTCAGCTCGACAACACCCCGCACCGTCTAATCAACACCTCCACTGGGCGCTTATGCGACCGCGAGGCACAGATCAATGCCTTCAGAACAAGCACAGTGTACAAAGAACTTTTGTCATCCACAACGAAACATCCGGACTTTCAAATGGAGCGCATTCAAGACGTGGTGTCGATGTACTTCCGTTATGTCATGCTATCGCATAGGTGGGAAGTGACGGAGCCATCACTGCATGACATCCAGAACAAGGTGGTGTACGACTTGGATCCAGTTGGTGGCATCGCGAAGTTGCAGTCATTCTGTAGAACTGCTCGTGACAAAGAGTATCGCTGGGCATGGATTGATACCTGTTGCATCGACCAGACTAACAATGTCGAGGTCCAACAATCGGTTAACTCCATGTTTGTCTGGTATCGCCACTCAGCACTCACCATCGTCTACCTGTCGGATGTTCTACCTTCGTCGCAGTCTGGCGCACTCACAAGGAGCGCTTGGAATACGCGAGGATGGACAGTTCAAGAATTCCTAGCCTCAAAATTTGTACTCTTTTATCGAAAGAATTGGTCTCTGTATCTCGACGATCGCTCTCCCAACCACAAAGATTCTCTTGCAATCATGCAGGAGATGGGAGATGCGACGAGAATGGATGCACGAACCCTTGTTGCCTTCCAACCGGGGATGAGAAACGCCCGGGAGAAACTCCAATGGGTGTCAGCGCGTGTTACCACGTGGCCGGAAGATATTGCATACTCATTGTTTGGTATGTTCGGCGTCAACCTACCTGTCATTTATGGCGAGAAGAAGCAAAAGGCGCTCGGGAGGCTCTTGCAGGAGGTCATAGCTCAGTCGGGCGACATTAGTGCGCTGGACTGGGTGGGGCAATCATCCGAATTCAATAGCTGTCTGCCAGCCGACATTACTTCATACAAAGCACCACCATACACCCTGCCATCTCTGTCTGAAGACGGCATTCAGACATCAATCTCCTCGCTCCGAGATGTCATGGCTGTAGATTTGGTTCTAAAAATTTACGCCCGACTTGACAACTTGAGCGCGCCTCGTTTCGGAAACTGCAGACTTCATCTGCCTTGCATCGCATTTCGTATCACAGCAGTCAAACAGAGTCGTGCGGAAGACCAAGAGATATATGAAGTCAAGGCCGACGGGCTTGATGACCTGCTGATCACCACAAAGGACAAATTGAATCAGTTCTCATCACCACGACCCACTATGCAGACCTTATTGCTTGTTCGTCCGTGGGATCGTTATCTGCTCGAGCTTCCTCACTTTGTGGAGCCGTCTGGCTTGGCAGGGCTTCCTGACGTCGCCGACGACACGGACAGCGAAGAGGAGTATTGGTCTCCGCTCAGCTCTCCATTACAGAATTCGCCCGGCGAGTTCCCTGAGGCACAGGAGTCGGTCGATTCGGAACTGAGCGATCGAGCCTTGCGATTGATCGTTCGTCTTAACCAGCCTTTCAACGCGTTTTTGCTAGCGCATCAGCGCGGCGGAGAGTACAAGAGAATCGCGTCAGATCATGATATTATTGCACAAGTCAAAGATCCTTCTTCTATTCCGGACATGGTCAAGATGCTAGAGATATTGTAGCGACATGCATTTTGGGTGTTATTTATATCAATAATCCACATCTCTGTACGAAGATGAGATTCAGAGTCCAGACTTCGGTCTCCTTACTGCGAAACACCGAGGCTATGACGGGTACGCGCGTCACGTAGAAACTCGAACATCAATAAGCAGGAGCTCGCCAGCCTTCTATTATCGAACCCAAATTATATACCATCGTCATAATGGTAGTCGACTGCACCAGGAGAGACTATCTGTTGAACTCCTAAACTCTTCCTTATCAGATATTGTTTTCGTAAGACAGACATCTATCATGCCCGCTCGCCGCAGATTGGCCTCTGTCGGATGTTGTACATCTTCCAGGACTTCGTTGATAAAGGTCGAACGATGACCCAACCACAAGAGTTGCAGCACACCTATGTTTGGGATAGCAGCCTGACTGTCGTGCGATGCATGAAATGCTCTTGTCATATGTAGCGCCAGTCCCAACATTATCACCGATGCAGATGCCGCGAAAGCCAACTAGAACCATTTTCGATGAATAGTCATCGCATAGATATCATCACGAACTCACAGGAAGAAGGTTGATCTATAATGCTCCATTAGTCATTTAAAAACAACATCTGCGCAGTTCACTTACGTTGAGGCGTAGGGCAATAAACTCCTCGTTCACATAAGCTGTCCCGTTGCCAGGGTCAATTCCTCCATTGGCTGTGCCCATTTGTCCCGCTAAACATGTGGCACAGAATGAGCGAGAGTTTAAAAAACGTCGAACGTATCCCTTACCTAGCCAGATGAGTTGTGCAGCTGCTCTCGCAACCGCGAATTCTAGTTCATCCGGTCTCAAAGTGAAATTAGAGATTGGAGGAGAATTGTCTCGGAATTGTGTAGATTCCTCGGTGAGATTCAAGCCTATCAACGACATGATATACCTAGAAGTCAAGCCGTACGTGAGACATTTTAACAGTGCAGTCAAAGTTTTTGGCCTACTCGTCCGCAACAGAGAGTTCGGTGATTTGTGAAGGTGTACCATCAAATGTAATCCCGCTGCTGCTATCCGGGGTAGCTAAAGCACTGCCGATCTAAAATTGACAGTATGTCATTGAGCTCGAAGTGAGCGCCGTATGACGCACCTGTGTTTGCCAACTAGTATTCGACCACCCGAAGTGATACATTTCCCATTGCGTGGATGGCTGCGATATGGACGCAGGACTCAGTAGGCTGTTGGTTTGCATGTTGACTACCCCATCTGTAGTGTTCGCTGACAGCGAGCAATATACGAAATAGACCTGGATGACGTATGGAGTGGCAATGTCAGGGATAGCTGCAGAACGTATTGTTATCGTGACTGTGTTACAAATAAGCAAACGTACCCCAAGTCATGTTTACAGCAACCTCATCTTGTACTGAAGGGTCGATCCCCAATAATGTGGAGACCATGAGATAGACACCAGGAAGCTAGAGTCAAATTGTTATTCAACTTCTATAGTGGGCGCAAACTAAGAGAACGCTTACCTCCGAGACGCCACCGTAAGAATCTTCATATTCCATCCATGGAATTATATGTATCTGATCTGACCCTGTAGACACTGTCAGCGTGATAAAATATCACCGCAATCACAACCACCGACAGAGAGTGCTCGCATTAAGCACGCGAGTGGCAACTGGCCCAAACGGAACGATCGCTGTGCTGGTATTGGCAGAGTATTTCACATTTGGAACCAATCCGCAACTCGAGGCTACCGTCGTTGCGTTCACAGTCGCATTCCCAGCTATAACGGTTGTTTTGAGGGTGTCGTAGAGTGTGGTGTTGGACAACCCTGCGGACACGAGTCCAGTCAAATGATTGACAACTGGTAGGGATGTGGTAATGGGTCCCAGGTCCGTTAAATAGCTATACGACGAATCGTCTAGCCATCCTAGTGTTGTGGGTACCGAAGTCGTCATAGAAGCATTGAAGGTTTGAAACTGTAGGAGAGTAGAAGAGGTGACATGGAGCACGGTTATGCTCGCAAGGTAGGCTGCCACAGCGGAAGTCGTCCACCATGAGGCAGGGATGTCAGTTTGTCGCCAGACACCAGTGAGTGCAGAACCGAGACCCGCCCACGCGCCAGAGATGTCATGAACGGCCGTCAATTTCACACGGCGTACGAGTGTTCTTGAAATCGCAAGCCGTTGGGTAAAGAAGAGCAGAACAGCCGTGTATATCTGGATCAAGTTATATCATTGGTGTATCGTTAGGATACTGTGGACGCTGTGGATACATACGGTATAAAACGCTTGCAGTGAAGCACTAAGCACCACAGGCCAGAAATCATTGTTTGTTGGTGTGAAAGCGAAAGTTACATGGTGTTCCCAGTGACGGACATAGAAGAAAAGAAGGACGATGTGGATCATGACCAGCATGCCATGCATGATGTAACATACGCGTGGTGCAAACAAACCATTGCGCGCGTTTTTTGAAACAGTTTTCGAACGAGCCTTCCAGTCCGCCGAGGGGGAGATTGTAGTTGTCGGCACGCAACAGCAAGCATTCGATCGACACGATACACAGGTCCTCGACATACCGAGTGAGTGTAGTGGATGTTAAACAGGTAAGTACTAGTCAACTGGCTGGTCTCCCTGGAAGTGGCCCTGAGACCTTGATAGAAGTAAGTCAGTCATTCCTTGGATTTTCTTCTTTATATGTGAAAGCATGGCATCGATGTTTCAAACTTTGAAGTGAGGGTGATGCGGCAGCCAACCTGTGTCGTAAAGCGGCCCATTCAAATGCTCCCGCCGAGGACGCATTAATGGATTTATCGCTTTTGTTTTTTTCCATACCGTATTGTTCTACGTACTACAAGGTCACATAAGCCAAGTAATAATGATCTGATGGGCATCCCTACACGACGCACATCAATCAACGACTCATATGCAACTTGAATCTAACTGAGCCACTCGACATACTTCTTAGATAATTATACCTGGAGGGATGGATTCAAAGTAACACTTGAGAGTAAGGAGGGAAGCACAACATCCATACTGTGCAGCGCCCATGGACAGGAGCGTATCGAGTGACCCATTGCGTCCTCATCGCAAGTCCAGACACGGTTCGGCCCGTTCGGGCCTATATTTGTCACATGTATCTGGTCATAACAGTTTCGGGCCAATTTCCTGGCCGTTCCGTTGGTATTGCAATCTCATTATTCTCCATAACAATACTCTAGCAGGGTTCTGCAACTTTCCTGCATTCCTTGTTCAATCCTGATTTAAACATACTCTGTCGATTCCATATGGCCACTGATTTCTGGGCCAGTTCGCACTAGTGAGGAGGATCAAAGTCACGAGGCATAAGAAGCTTATGGTGGGTATCATAGCAAACGATGGATAGTGGACCGCGCTACCTTGAAGGAGTCTCGTTCAGATGACTTACAATACGTGGATGATCCGGAGTACCTCGATTTCTTTGCAATTTTCTTTGCGAATGGTGAGTGTAATACACCTGCGAATGCGGAGTGACGTTCAAACTTTTCTAGTTATAACAAAGCTAGGAAAAAAGCTCAACTTCAGGCAACGCGTCATCGCGACAGCCATTGTATTCTTTCGAAGATTTTATATCAAAAACTCGTATTGCGAAACCGACCCATTCATTGTCATCGCAGCATGCTGTTACGTGGCTGGAAAGGCGGAGGAGTCGCCCGTGCACATCAAGAATATGGTAGCAGAGGCTCGCCTTTTCTTCAGCCGTGTGTTTCAACACCAAGTATATCTGTTTGAATACTAATATCAAGTTGCACAGAACAGCCGTACGGCGTGAAATACTTTCCATCAGACAATTCCAAACTCGCCGAGATGGAGTTCTACCTCGTTGCGGACCTCGAATGTGATCTCACTGTTTTTCATCCATATCGCACGTTGTTGTCCCTTTGCAAAAAGGAGAGCTCAAACGACTTGCAGACAGAGGCTGGTGAAGTGGGAGTGGGAGTGGACGATGGGCCACGGTATTGGGGAAGTGGTGATGGGCAACTCGAGTTGCCAGATGATGCGTTCCAGCTAGCTTGGTGAGCGGATTTGTAGGAGGAGTGTCTCATAACTGACTCTAATCGTAGGTCTATCGTCAACGACACATATCGCTCAGATCTCTGCTTGCTTTATCCTCCCCATCTACTCGCCATTACGGCACTCTATCTCGCTGTTGTTTTACACGGTCCAACTAGAGAGCTCCTCCAACAGCAGTCTCATTCAGTCGAAGCAACACCAGTCCACAATTCCCCGAGAAGATCGTCGCGACAAAATTCTAGTACATCATCGAGTCACTCAAAGAAACACTCACAGGACTTTGTTGCTTTCTTTGCTGAACTTAACATCTCAATGCCATTGGTCGCCACTATTGCACAAGAAATCATTTCACTATACACACTCTGGGAGCGGTACCTCGAAGATTCAGATCATGTTGATTCTGCAAGAGGTACATTCTACGGACATGCGTCGGCCCAGACACAACCGACAGCGAGCCATAGCGGGGTATCTACGCCCGTGGAGAACCTGGACGATGCACAGAGGCCCCATGGTGCTACGCCGACCTTCTTGCTGCAGGTCTTGACGAGGATGAGGGAGAACAGGTTGTCAGATATGGCGCATGCGTCTTCTGGGAGGCATGTTGCGGTGAATAAGATGTTAGAGCGGACACAGGCTGCTGGGTGATTAACTATACCATCTTCATTTACATCGCTACGCATGTATGTACGTTTTGTATTTCATCTGATTGACTAGCATAAAACCCCTTCAAGTCTTGGTAACGTCACTACACGTGCGATGGACCATTGACTCGATCAAGTATGTACTAACCCCAGCTAGACCTTGATCAGGTAACGTTATGTAAAATTGGATGTTCATTAACGTTAAAGTTCACCTCGATGCAACCTCTCACCCTTTAGTGCTAACAAATACTACTAGCTCGACAAGCGCTGTACAGACTGCTCTAGAGTCTGCCCAATGTCAAACGAACATTCTGACCCCAAGCCCTGTATATGGAAACGATACAAAATGGCACATTCTTATTGTTGAAACAGACCTGCTTTTGTATGGATATGTCATGGTGATCGTCCTACAAATAGTACCGCCAAGCCATCATGCCTCGCGGCCCGCCATGAGGCTGGATGGTCAAAGCGGATGGGCTTAGGGAATCCGGGCGTCTCGTAAGTGCCGGTTATTACCATCAAAACTGACGTATAACGCTTGCAAGGCAGTCTCATACTCCGAATCTCCATAGGGTCTAAAGGCTACTCAAGAATCGTTTGAACTACAACCCAATCGTCGTCGAGGAAACTCGCAAAATGCAGTTGCAGGTGAGCTCCACGTCCAGATCTCCTTGTCACGAAATGCAGACCTGACCGAGGCCCAGAGCATAATCTACTCCAAGCCACCAGCCATCGTCACTTTCTTGCTACTAACGAGCCTCCCACTCGTCGATCCCACATGGGTGGTGCGATCTCTCTGCGCGACTCACCTTGGGAGGCGCCTACTTCGAGGTTCCAACAGGACCCTCATGGACAGACTCTATCACGCACTCTCCTCTACTTGTCTTCGTGTCCGCCTCTTACTATTTCCATTCCCTGCACGTTTGCGGTGCGGAACATTCCCCACGCTAGAAGCGGAAGCGAAATATTGGTGCATTGCTGCTCGTTACCGACGCCACCTTGCACAGTCTAGTGCTCGCCGGCCACCGCAAGAGACATCTGAGATACCTCTCGTGACGTACTATACACCACGTCTTCTACCTCAATACCGCGACGTACAGCACCTCGACGAAGGAAGCAGTGTATTTTCTATACCAGCCAAAACGTTTTGCAAGTGGCATAGGATGGTGTTTCGGGGATCGGTGAGTCCTCCGTCTGACATTGCTGCTCAGAAGAAGTGATGCCTGCTTGGTGTTTGGGATCAAAGTATCACCCGACGCATGCACAAGCAGTTGTGCGCATGAAGTATTACTCTCACAGAGACCTGAAAGAAATGCAGCGGATTGCGCGCCTTCTGTCAGACGAGCAAGTGTTACGCCGGCCTTGGTCACCAAAATATAGCGAACTTTGGAAGCGATGGTTGGATACCAAAGGTCCGGACGTAGTCATCGTGTTTGAGTGATGTAAAACAGTTGGGGCTCAGGTATTTTGCAGCATCACTGCCGCAACTTGCCGCACCACTAACGCATCACAACGAAACATACATTTAATGCTCATTTCCGACAACTACTGTAATCATACACAAGATAATTGACCTATCAGTATTACTCGTCGAACTCATCAACTATGCGCCTCTCGGACATGCCTTTGAGAGGCTGAATTTAGAGGTCTGTCTGCGATGGACGTAGACGTTGATCTGGAGTGCCTTGGTATACGAATGTTCGAACTCTCGTTGGCCGCAGGTGCTGCAGGGAATGAACAATGGGGAAAAGACGCCGGCACGCACCAAGACTGATGGAACCCATATGAGGGTCTCCCAGTGCACTGGAATCATGGTGACTGAGATCCGTATGCACCAGAATTTGAAGAAGAATCTCATATTCACGGTGGCGGGAAGTGAGCCCGAAGTCGTTAAGAAAGAGAAACATACCAAAAAGCCCAAACCGCAGCCACGGCCACGGCCAAGGAAGGTACATGGAAGTACTTGACGTGCGCAAGGATGAGCGTGCTGTTGTGCTCGCCTGCGACTGGGGTGCGTGATATCTATCGATTTATATGAGGCGACGATGTCAGCGAACGGGCGAGCTCGGCTTGAAATGAAATTACCTCGCGCTTTCCTTGACGCGCGAGGCTCTTATTTTGCACCTGAACGCATGATTGTTAGTTCGTATATCTTATGATGAAGGTGCACACGTACACATTTCTCCTTTGTGCTGAGAGCCCACTCGTCGAACTCGGGAGGAGTGTCTACGGCAGTCGCATTTGCATTCTCGACGAATGCCTCGCTGATGATGTTCACACATCGGGGTGAACGATATTTAAAAGAGGTTTATATGTTGTACAAAATGTGAAGACAATATTTAATATTTAAACTAACATAAAGATGGGTGCACGACTTCAAATTTTGGTGGTGTTTTGTGTGTAATCCAAAATATCAAATATTCACAACCATATTCCCACAGACAATATGTCAACAAACATAAGAAATATAGTCAGATTTTTCATGTCTGCTTCAACTTAAAGTTCAATTTCCATGTAAAACTTTGGAGAAAACTTGAAGTTTTACAGATGACATGACATTAAAACTCGATTTAAATGTCAAGCTTTGGCAAAACTTCAAGTTTTCTCCAAAGTTTTATGTAAGAATCAAACTTTAAATTGAAGCAGACATGGAAAATCTGATTATATTTATTATATTTGTTGACATATTGTCTGTGGGAATATGGTTGTGAATATTTGATATTTTGGATGACACACAAAACACCACCAAAATTTGAAGTCGTGCACCCATCTTTATGTTAGTTTAAATATCAAATATTGTTTTCACATTTTGTACAACATATAAACCTCTTTTAAATATCGTTCACCCCGATGTGTCATGGCGAATCCTTGGTCGCTTTTCAAGTTAGTAGCCGTGTCTTTCAGGCGGCCCGCAGCGTTGTGGTTGACTGGCGGGTAGTAAGGTTGATTCCATCTGGCGATGAAGACCAATTGCTAGTCAAGGCTGCAGAGGTGCATGAATTGCTGAGAACAATGCATACCATGGACAATGCTGTAGGTATACTTGGT